CTAAAGCCGAGTTCACTACAGTCTTCGTACGTCGGCCCGTGGAAGCTCTCATTAAAAAGGGCGAGGTTTTCACCCAAATTTATTCGAATTCTCATGATGCATAAAATTAAAGATAACTCAATAAATTCTAAAAATTTTAATTGCAAGAATATTTTGCGTGAGCTAGTGGGGGGTATTTCGTTTGGACCTGATTTCAAACCTGCATAGTGCTATTTCGTTCGCATGCCCTGGCACTTGTCGTAAAAAACGGCGGTAATTATTTAGCCGCGTCGGATACTCTGGACAGGAGTTACGAAGAGCCGCAATCGACACCGCTCTGTGCCTAAGCCAACGACCGCAATCACACGTGTTTTTTGGGGTGATCGCGCATTATCTGCATGACTTTTGGGACGAAAAAACTCTTCGCAAAAGGAGAGGCCAAACGGGTTCAGCTTGAGTCAACAATGTTAATTAATTAAAGTATGTAAATTGAGCGTTCACCCGTATTTTGCTTAAATCGCATCAATCACCACTCCTTATAAAAGTAAAATTAGCTTTTACTCGTCATATACAATGTTTGACACACCACTCTCAACAGCCAGTTTAAGTAGGCTGGTAGTTGTGAGAGGGATCACACAGTTACAGAGACGACCTTATATGCTAGCATTATTTTGTAACATGATTTGATAATTTGAGCTAGTAAATATCCTCATGGTTTTGAATGAATGAAGGCTTGCTGAATATTCGAGGAATTGCTTTTGCTCGTCATTTTGCGCACCTATGAGCTGATTACTTAAATAGAGCATCAGAGCCCTCAGAACTCCACCACTGTTTCTGTCAGACGAATAATTATCCATGTAGATAGAAAAACTAACAACGAGCATCTGTCTAGAGCAGTAGCCTGTGAATCCTACCACTCCATGTTGTAAAGAAATTACTTTGGTGCCATAACCAACAACTCAGAAACATTGACGATGCCAGGCTACTACCAATTGACAAGCCACAAGACCAATCGGATTGACTAGCCACTTCTATGTAAACGAAAAAAAACATCCTGACTGTGCGTTTGGACTACTCTCGCAGAAGCACTTTTTAATGAACATCAGGCACATGACAAACAGTTTAAGCTCTTCTAAACAATGTCTCCTGCGCGTGCTAACCCAAGTAGATGTGACCAATATCTCCCGTTTATTTCAGTCGTGAATCCTTCATCTGATGTGCGATTGTGAGTGGAGATTTGCACAATTTTTTTTACGTAAATACCGAAAAATACTTTTAAATGTGCTAAAGATTTAACATAAAACAGAAACTACTTGCCAAAGCAGTTATAAAATGTAGCCAATCTTTAGTTGCTTTCATCAGTGCAAAATTCCAGGTATTCAATTTTTTTTTTTCGTTTCCAAATCGAAAACAAAGCGGGCATTTGGCATTAGGTGGACTAGATATTACGCAATATAAGATGCGGCCTGTCCATGTCAACTACATAAATACCCGTGCATGTAGGTAATTCTACTTAAAGACATATTTTTCGGAAAAAGTGCCAAATACTTCAATTTCCATATAGAAAGACACACCTATCCGTTATCACAGTAAATACACCCTGTGATCCATTTCCTACAAGCTTAAAACGCCCATAGCTAGTTGCAGTCCTGAAAAGGGCCTAGGGTTACAGAAAAACACTTCCTTGAATTTATTGTGGGGTTCAGCCGCGAATGCATTGCGATTTTAACAGTTCAATTTACATAAAGATGTAAAGCTAAGGAGACCACCTCGAAAATGTTTTGTGAGCATTCACTGACGATCTCCTCCACTGTCCACAATATCAGAACAATAGTAACTATGTAATATCATAAAATCACCATGAGAAGTATCATCACTCTCCTGATCTTCGGTCAATGCAAGGTATAGTGATGCAGAGCTGGACGTATTACACTATTTGTATAACATTGCAAATATTGCTTACACATAATCTTCAAACCAAAAATGCGGCTAATGAAGGAGTTTGCATCACTTATCGGCTGCTATGGTGACTATTTTTTACATTCAGGGCATTATTTCACACCCATAATTAACACTACTTGGGCAATGTCGGACTATGCCTTTGATGCGAATGGAACGGACCAGTCGGCGGTTATTTCGATTTTTTCTGCATCACCTCAATTCCAAACCTTTATTGCTGTCTGACTTTTTATTCGTTTATTAATTACTTCCTCTTTTGTGGTACACAATAAAATACACTTTTATAGCTCTTATACCTCAGCTGGGCATACGAGCGAGAGAAGCTGTCGCTTTTTCTCCTCCTAAAACATTATTAAATAAGAAGGAGCCCTGAGATATTGTACTGCGTTCAGATACTGTCTCCCAAATGGCGGGTAGTACCATCATTAATTTATTGCCTCCGGTTATTACGCTTAATGTAAAAAAGGAATGGCCTTTTCCTGATTCAGTGGAATGGTCCTAATGAAGAGCATGTAGATTTTAGATGTCAACAAGTGCTGGCAGAAAAAAAAACGCAAAAAATTAACAGCCACCACAACATGACGAACGGATAGAATTGGGGACGGCTTCTCCGACAGTACCAATCTTATTGTGGGGTTCAGCTTCAAATTTCACTTACTCTTCTGCAGGCATAAGTGGCCAGGACTTGCTTTGGCCTCAAAATTAAAACAGACCAACTTCCTTTCTGTGCTAATGTCCTGGGGTTCTAGAATTACGTTTCAGCAAAAAACAGCTTTCTTTTATCTATCGCCGTAAATCTTTGACCACTTTACGGGAGTGTTTAAGTTATAAAAACCCCGGGATTAAAAGGGTTCTATCTTCATCTAAAATGATTTAACGGCCGAAAATTGAAGCATAAAAACATTGCTAACCATATTGGGGATAAAAGTTCAAACCGAATTATCACATCTTGAGAACCTCGCAGTTGACAAGTGGTATAAGTTCCAGAATTCATTTTCGTGAACATTTCAAGCGAAATATATTTTTGGCAGAACATGCTCGTGCAAACATCCGCATTTTAACGTTATTTTATCCATATCTCGACAAAAATATACACTTTGTGTGCCCTTTATACCACCACTGCAATGCACGCAAGCAAACGTAGGCAGCATCCATATGTCCCTCCCTAGCCGCCCATGCAAATGATTGCCATTTGATAGAAAGAAAACAAAGTTCTGCCACAAAAGAAGTAATAATAGTAGAAATGGAGGGCAACAACAGTGAAAAGGCTGTTAATCAATGTTAGAGATGTGCTTCTGCAAATTTCTTGCGTATATCCACCCCCTTTCGTGTGCGTCCATGCTGAATAAAAGCGTCTGCAATAACTAGCGGTCCTCGTGTTTATGTTAACCGCTTCACCAAATACCGATTCCTTGCCTCCAGTCTAATTGGAACATAGATAAGGCGGAAAATGGTGCCCAAGAAAATGAGATGTTGAGACTGAACCTGGAGTATATTTGAAAATACTCGCGACGCAAGTGGGTAAACATGCTGAAGTGGTAAAGCTTACCCCCCACTCACATGCCACAAGTTCATGATCGAGATAGTGATCAAAATGAAGTTTGAAAGAAGTAGGAAGCCCGCAGACAACATATGGTCAAGAATGCACACACAGAGAGGTATTTCAATCAGATCAAGGGCGATTTTTTCTCCACCCGTTAGCATGCTAAACACCTTTTGTCATAACGATATGCGTACGTCGGTTGAAAATGCATTTTTATGATGAAAATCTTGTGATTAAGGCCACAAGCAACCAACGATTTGAAAGAAAATACCACCAATTACCCGTATTTCTTACTAATAGAAGACTTTATGACAGCCGACCACAAATCAGCATTAAGACAAGTACCTTTTCAAAATCAAAAAAATTCAACTTTATGCAGTACTTTACGCGAATTTTTTCAAAACTTTTTACGGCCTACATGCTACACCGACAACGGTAGATAGTTTGGATTTCACCATGAACGTAGAGGAGGAGCACAACACTGGACGACCTTTATGATCGTGCTGGTGGATTTTCCATATTATATTGTTGTGGCGTTGTAACAGTCGCCCATTTTTTTACCAATATGGACAGCATTAGGAAATTTCAATTTCATGACCGGTTTAAGAAATAGCTCGGACACGATTTGGTGTTCAATGTGCAAGCTCATGCAAAATTACGCCGAAAATAGTCTCAACAAGAAGAGGCACTAAAGCAAAACAAATAAAACCTCAATGCGCACGTGTTTGTTGGCGGTGATCATTTCCCCCTTCAGTAAATGGATAATTGAACAATGTCGCAAATAACCACTCAAATTGACAGCATGCTTGTAAAAAAATTTACTAATGGAATCACACGACTCCACTTATGGCCACTTACTCTTCCACCAACAGTATACAGACCTCACTTTTTAAGACAATTTAACGAGAATAGCCAACAATTTTACCTAAGTGCATCCTTCAAAAGCAAAACGAAGCGTCCAAGAAGGCTTTCTTTTCCGAAACCCGATCTAATAATGTGAAAAGCGTCGTGAAGACGCCGTGAAAAGCGCTTTCATATTAATTCACAGCTTGGCAAGAGTGTTATTTAAAGCGGCATGAAGTGCCAAGTCACAGCATTATGATGACCAGCGATGAGTCCTTGAACGTCTCACTCCAGCGATTACTGAAGAGAATAAAGTTAAGGAGACAGGAAGATTCATTCTGCGGTTCAACAAGTAAAGCTCCAAAAATTATTCTTGAAAAAAAACTCATATGGGCACTGAAACATAATCAAAGCCACTAATTAGTATCACTAAAGGTTTAAATGTGTTTTTTTACCTTTTATTTGTTTGGTTGCAAATGAAAACTCACAAAATCTCAGAATCCTACATTTAAAAACCATCAATTCAGTTTGCACAATAAATGCAAAAATTTCAAACGCAACGTCAGTCGTATAAAATTATACTAATAACACCTTTTCCAGCATATATGAAAATGTTACAGATACTCCAGTGGATATGCATGTAGGTGTTGATACACGCCTGGCACAGGTGGCTTGTTTAATGAATAATGGGATTTAAGGGCTCTGCACGAAGATTTTCAAAATCGACACGGCTGTCCAGGTCCTCGTCAACCTCCCCAACAACGGCGCTGAAAGAAGGAGTAAAGGTATGTACGAATAGGGACTACATCCAATAGTCCCATTTGCATTTGTCGGAAGATGCGTCGTCAAACACACGTTTCCGCCTCCACCCAAGGAAGGCATTAAGGTCTTGAAAAAAACAGAATCTGATCTTCAGCCGCCACCTTTGGTATGGCGCAGTCGAAATTCATGCACAAAAGGGAGGAAATCAACTGATCATGAGGGAACATTAAACACATTAAATTCTGATGCATCAAGCAGGTAAAATGCAACGTTGTTTTGCCTGACGGGAAAAAACACCGAGTCTACGAGTTTGCTAGCAATTGTAATTTTACCTGATTAATAAATGTTTCCACATCTGGTTCAACCTAGTGATTAATGGCACCCGGGTGCGGCGCCGCTTTGCGGATTGGACGGGGACAAAGAACTAATCAGTTATATAACTCCCGAAAAATAAAAAATTCACTCTCCTAGACTTTTCAATAAAACCAAACATCTGAGGTGTCTCTTAACATACCAGTACACAAAGGTAAAGTACAATAGACGTTGTAATAAAACCAAATTCTGAACAGGGTTAAAAATTGATACTACATTGTCATAAAATAACACATGGCTGGGAGAGACGAATGGCCGTTAGCATGAGAAGCAAGTAAAGCATTTCGCTTGTCACCTTATGGCTAACATACCCTGCATTTTATCTTTCCCTAAGGCTACTGCTTGCGGCATATTGCTAACAAGCCCAGTCCGCACCACAGCAACTGTGGAGTCAGGAGTGAGGCGCGGTTTTCACTAATGGTACAAGAAAATTCCAATCAACGCTAAAAATATTGAGCGATATTGAAGACCGATTATAAAGTGCGTGTTCACTGCCACTCGATTCCACGGTTCGGAATAAGAGGTGGAACTAACAGAAGCGCAATTTTCTACGCACAATGTAGGAAAAAAAAACCTGAATTAATTACTACTATCATTCCATCGTCGTCACAGGGATGTAAAGAGCTTAGGAGTGAGTGGGCATCGTAGCCCTACAGCAGCACATGAGGCCGACGTCAAAACATTAACACAAGGAGTTCTCACAAATGCTCAAGCTCCACCCGCATGCAAATAGCAGGCGGAGCTTTTCCCACCAGCTGCTGTAAGTCATGTAAAGTCGATTCAGGAAAGTCCCAAAAAGTAAAGCCATTCCCTTAGATGCATCGGCGACAATGCAATAAAGAGAAGTGATGATTACAATATCTACAGTGCACGAATGCGGACAAGGTGTATACCAATAACACACACTAATTGAGAGATGTTACTTTTACCATGATCGTGCATGAAAGTGACACCAGCTGGTAGCGTTGACAGATGGCAAGATAGAAGTAGATTGGAAGATCATTTAGCATTCATCATCATCAATATCAAATGAGCATATTTGTGTGTATACACCAATAAATTCCATATCCTAGTTCACTGTGCCGCTCGGGGAATGATTACCTTACGTTATCCTCATTCCCCTTCTTCATAAACAGCAAACACAATGACACACCTTTGGACCTTTAGGGTTAGTTTATCGGATTCTACAAGTATAGAAAGCACTCGTTCCGTTCGAAACAAATCAGCACATTGGCTGAGAGGCCTACTGAATTCGTTGTATTATCGCCTTGGAGTAAAGGTGAGTTTTTTGAGAGGCATGTGGAGGAGGATGAAAAGTAATAAGCATCTAAGAACCTGCTCCTTTGACTACAAAGGACGTGCGGTAAATCGACTTTGAGGGATTGATCAGCATCGCTACAAACATTGTGGAGATTTTCCCCACATGCGCACACCATCACAAACAAAAAAGTAGTATGGGCAGGCCCAAGAGACAACTGACGGTATTGTCGCTAACGTTTGTGAAGATGGAGACGGTGACGGTGAGTTGGTCACAAGGCATGAGTGCGTACATACTCAGTTGTTCACCTCACACTATCGAGTGCCTAATTCGGGCTTGCAAGCAGGCTGATGAGAGAGAGATAGGTGGAGGGGAGATGAGTACTATTGTAACTGCCATGATGTGCTGCCAATAACCACCGATGTAGCAACAAACAATTTTCTGTTCATCATTACTAATAACACCATGAATTAGGGCAAACCTCTTGTACGTGCATATGTATGTGCTAGGGGCAGTAACACAAACCGGTTGTTTTAAAAGTCCGTCTAAGGAGTGCTGAGCCAAGGATTTACAAAACTAGACACCTCTAGTGTCCCGAAGAGGGGAGTTCAGTCGCCTCAAAACCACTCCTGCTGACATTATACCGGAAGCGTTGAGGCAAAATAAATTCGGCATCCAATTACGAAGTGCCGAAACAGTTGGCAGCTTAAAAGTATTTAAATACCAACACAAATTCAGCCAGTAAGTAATAATAAGGCAAGGCTATTACGCAGATGTACAAAGAAACTGTCCATTGAATGCATTAAATTACCGGTAGTTAAAAAAGTGCTTCTCATAGATCCAATCACTAAGCCTTTAGCTAAGTTATCCTAACGGTATCATTTGATTGGTGCAGAACAGTGCAGCTTTCAGAAAAAAATTTTTTGTATTTGATTACAGAATAACGGAAGGAATCTATCGCAAATTACAGAGCAATTTCCATTAAAATACAAGGAACAAGCGTAGTTTGTTGTTGCCCAACAAGACTAGATGAATACAGATAATCCACGAATCTTTGCATCCCAATTCTATACGGTTTAAGAGTGGTTAATTGCGCAGAAGCCAGTGACATATTTTATTGCTACGAAAAGCACAAGATTTTCAGAAGATAACGTTCGGGAGAGAGACCGAGATCAAAATGAGGTTTATGAGCCACCAATATGATTCAACAACGTTCACGATGATGGATGGACCATAAAACCATACATAACTTGCTTTAGATGACTAACAAAGAAACCAGACTCTGTTCTGTGACAATTAGAAGGATGGAATGCAGCGAGTAGTTGGGAAATTTGCCATTAGCAAATATACCTAGATCAAAGTTCAAATGTATTGAAAATCCTGTTGAAACATAAGAAAAAAACATGATCAACTGATGAAAAGATTCAAAAAGAGAAAGGCATCGAACTGTTCTCCGCGCCGTAGAACGAAAAGGTCTTTTGAACACGCTTGTATGCGTATAAATGACGCCTACGGCCAATGGTTTGCGACAACGCGAGTAGAGGAAGGACAAGACAGTGGATACGGATGATTGAATAATACAGTCTGAATAAAAGTTTTCGATTATAACTGAGTAGGGGACACAAAACCACGATAAGAAGCAGCACTGATAGTATCATTGCCGCAACGATTGTTTGAGGCATGCGACAACACATAGCTCGACAAATGGGCAGGAGACCAAGCTGGGAGACTCGCACGCACCTAGTTTTTCGGAGACTGTAAATAATGAAACAGCAGCATAAACCCTTCATTCCGCCATGTCAAAATAGGATCAAAACCACGAAGTAAAGCTTCAAAACAATGGAGAAGCAAACTTATTTTCTGAAATAGATGATAGCATCTGTGCTGAAAGCGGGATATTTTGGACGATGCAGACATTGCTATTCTCGGGTATTAGTACCAAAAAGGACCCAAAGTCGCAAAAATAAACTCCCATTTGCCACTTAATCTAAGTATTTAGTAATGATACTCACATTTCTCCGAAAATAAAAAGAAAGTGTGAAAATTAAAAGATACAAATCCCAAAACAAGAGACCGCGCTGAATTGCAAGCTTGAAGCCCGGACGCATCCACCACTCACAAAAGTGATAAAGTGACAGCTGATCGCAAGATGTTCAATCAACGGCCCAAAGGGATAACGTAGTACACCATAAATGGAGAAGAAATCGTGATATACTTGAGGAGACACCCTTTCATCATTTATGCCAGTAAAAAGACAATAGAAATGCAAAAGTTGTCTCGCACCACCACCTCACCTCAAGGTCCCACCACAAATAATACTGGGATTTAACAGACCAAAACGAACAATTTCGTAAGGGAAAGTTAGTCTGCTTACAGTTAGATGATATGCCACAAATCTGGTAAAGCTCAGTGATTGTGGGTTATTAATGTAATGGTAACGGCAAAATATAACCAAGTTAGTTTGCACGGTCTTTGTGATAGAAATTAAATAAATGCAAAAAACTACAGAAAATATTGTACTTGTGAGAGCAATCACCACCATAACCTATGGTCTTCTCCCAACGAGACTTTAGATTGCCAATTTCACTTAGGTACTTCTGTCTTTAACAACAAACAATTCACCAATACCCACCTCCGTTTCTATCTCAGTGTGATTTCTCACCTATCCATTTTGCATGTGATTAGCAAATGCTAGAAAAAGGTGGCAATCATTTGGAGAAATGTCGTCTAGGTAATATGGAGGGTGATGAACCAGTATCTACCTCTCTTCACTACACACACAGGGCCAAGGCATAGTCTTCTGGGAGTGAACTGGTGCAAACCTCAGAAGCGTAGGTTGGGTGGTGAGTGGAGCATTTGCAGATGGTCGACGATGTGTTCGTTTACACAACAAATGGTGCAGTACAAGTTATTTCTCATCCCAAGTCAGGTAATCAGTCGGTAAATAGTCTAAGTGCAATAACAAACAGGTAGTCTTTAAAGCTTATTAACTGTTACCTGTTAATGCAAGTCACATCCAGATGTGGACCAAATGTTTCACTATTCGTGATAAGCACTACTACGGTTCTTGACACGTTAACCCTCCACTTTTTTTCAACCGATAGCAGCACATAATTCACCACTCGGATCAGGAACGCAGGCTTCACGAACCCAATGTGTCATCATCGCTTGTCGATTTATCACCAGAATCGTATTTGCTCAATAAATTTCGGATGGTACGTTCTGCTATGCATTCCTTACAAGGGGCTTCCACAGCTTTGCAACCAAGTTAAATTCGGCTTGAAAAGCAGACAAACTCAAATCACATCTTCCGGGTTGAAATGGGACTTTGTGATAAGGAGGAGAACTCTAACTAACAGGGAACTAGTAATGCATGCGTACAGACCACCAAAACTTTGATCGGAACTCTTAAGCTATTAATGGAGAATGGGGACAAAAGACTTTTCACACCTATGCGACGCAAAATGGAAGTAGGAAATATGTAAACCTAGATGTAATAGTTACATTTGATCAAAATTGTAAAGAAGGGGTGAGTTTAAAGAAGTTTGCATTATCGCATCAGACCAAGGCACATATTTCGTTACTTTTACTGGACTATTTCCTTCTTGATTTACACATCAAACAGGCTCACTGTAGAAAGGTATTTCCTGACGCGTAGCACCTAGAAGCGTTCTTCAGAAGAAAGTATGTGGAAAATGTTAGGAACCATCAAGTGGCACCAGGCACGGCATGAAAGTGCATTTTATTAACGTCTGACAATCAAGCCCAAATGGGTTTTTTCACAAAATGTATTTGTTGAGATTTTTAGCTCCCTACGACGAATGTGGATGTATGGGTACTGCAAAATATTGAATTGGGGGAAAATTAGCTAAATATGAATGGTTTCAGGTGTTAGCATAATTGTTCCTCAGCGTATAAAATATTAGCACTTTTCCCCGAAGAGAAATACTAAAACGGAGGGGAAGACTGATATTCACCAAATAGGCAAACGAAAGTAATCCGAGTGCTGGGTCAGCTTTTTATGGTGCGGTGTTCGGTCACACAACAGAAAGGTGGCTCCACGGCGGAACCCAATGGAAAGGCACGCATTTTCCTCTAAATTCCTTTATTGTCGCTGAATCCACAAATGACAAATTAGGCGAAACATTAAAAATATGGCTACTATTAGTGGATTTTAAATCAATGTAGCTTGCCTACAAAAATTGAAAATAAACTTAATTTTCGTCAGATAAGCATTTCATTCACCTCAATAGGTCAAAAGCTCTGTGATTATTTCGCTAATCTGGTTCTTCCAAATTGTCGTGTTTAAAAATAAGGAAGTAGCAAATAATTTTAAACACCAGTAGCTGTATTTTTGTAGCCAGCATTTTAAGCTAAAAATACATACAATTCGATCCCACTATGGCAATGGGAGGGAAGTAACTGAGCCGACATTTCGCACTGCCTGTGCCTAGGAAGAGGTAAAAAACGTTCGAGGAACGTATGCAAGCGATTTAAATCACTTGAAGTAGCAGCAGCATCCAGTGAGGCAGCAAGAATGGGGTGCAAGCCCAAAAAACGCAAGGAAAAAGATGCATATTCTCTCATTTCACTAATTTCCTAATGTATAGTTTCAAGAAAGTGTTTCAACTAGAATGCGTGACAAATGTGATTCCTAACATTCTCACTAAATTTGAATCGTTAAATTGCGTGCTAAGAGGCTTTTACCAGTCGCGTAAAGACAACCTGTGCCAAAATTTGACGATAAATTGAAGACGACACCAAAACCAAAAGTTTTGCAATCTGGGGTAGCTAGAGAGGCGGTTATTAGCGACCCAAAGCTAATGACTGTAATGCACAATAAGGTGAAATAGTTTTCAGAACGGTTAGAAGAAGTAAATGACCTACACATTCTGACCACGAATGATATACAGCCCCAGAGGCACACATTCTACTCCGCGATCCGGACTGAAGACTCTCTCATGGCTGTCGTTGACAATCAGGTTGATGACGTTGTCAAAACCCTTCAAAGTACCCTACAAAGCAAAAAACGATATAGATAAGATCGCATTAGCTGCCCATTTGTACAAGTACTCATTGAAACGATCAGATGCTTGAGTCTTTAGCTATTCAGGAGATAAAGATGCTGAGCAATTGCTCACAGCCACATTATCTATCTTTTCAAGAGTTCACATAGACTAATTCTTGTGTTTGCATTGAACTGAAAGTATTCACTCACTCTCAAGGCTCATAGTTGGTACGTGCCTTTGAAGATGGAAAGATACACCAAATAAATTCTACGTATAACGGTGTAGAGGAAAGGCAATCTTTTAGAGTTAAAACGCCCAAACACATGTGAAACCAGTGAAAAGCTGTTTCCTCTTAATATTTTGTGCGGTTTCGCAAGTAAATTCAGTGGGAAAAAAGGACAATGAGTTCACTGATACTGATGTATTGCGCAGCCATACAGAACCAGTAATTACGTAACTTTAATGCCCTATGCATCATTTCATGGCACTGCGCTATTGCAGAGTTTTACGGCTGGAGACGTAACTAGTTTATGCAATTTCAATGTGACGCTCATCTAAATCTTGAATGTTCATGCTTATCTTTTATGTGGATCGGGAAATATGCAACAGAAAAGGCTTACGTCTTAGACGAATACACCGCTGTACTAACGATAAATTAAACAAACGGCGGTCCGCTATCAAACAATTACAATGAGATAAAATTTAATGCCGGCGACGCATTTGTAGACACTCATCTACCGGTTTTCAGAAACAAATAGCACCTTTTTATCTGGCAAAATCACCAAGTAGATTTTAAAAACGGATGGCACGCAGTTAGAGTTTATAGAAATCAGTTTGGCCGTTGCAAAAAGGATGGTACCGTAGTTACAGTCAAAATAGTTTTGACAAATCGGGATAACAACACATCCCTGAAAAAGCAGGTTAATTAGGGGAATGCTTGATAGAAGACCAATTGGTGACCATTCAAAACTATAAATGATATCGAGAACATATTCTTCTACGGTTTCGTAAAATGCTAGAGGCGATATTTTCCCTCCACGTGGAAAGTGAAATTTACAACGCTGTAGAACTCATGAATTAAAAGGAAGTCCAGGAAGAGCATATAGACAAAAGAGCTGGAGAGACTGGCTGCAATCAAGTGTGGCAAAAAAGAAATGAGGGACAATAGACAAACTTTTATAGTGATCAAAATTTTGCACCAGCACGCTCTTATATACAGTATGATTTAGTGACTATTGCCTAAAGGCACAGTTTTAAACATTTACTACAGCAAATACGACTTTGTCATGTAAAAGGGGATGTGTTAAAGCTAGTAAAACTAACCTCTAGTTCAAAATGTCAATTTTTCTGACAATGAAGACTCAAACGCAGAATCAAAAAATAATTCAAGGCAGAGTATCGAAATGTGAAAAGTTACTGGCCCATGAATGTGTGGCAGAACTAATCCACCTACGAAATCATAATAAGTTTTAGAATTGATTATACACACGGAACTTGGCTAGAAAATGTGGAAAAAGAACTGGAACAAATTCTCTGCTGTATGACTTCAGACTAGGATGATACACTGGGGGATTTAGAGTAAGCAGGAAACAAAGTAGCAAAAAAGTGCTAACATTACTACTACCAAGGTGCATTCAAATCGTCTCCTCATTGTTTCTTTACAATAGCAGAACTTGAAACTTTAGAAATCGAGAAATAGTGGTACGAACTAATGAAGACACAATTCCACCTTCCATGTGAATAGTACTAGCAGCTACATGGGGTAAAAAGTGATCGGTTCCAGTAACATTAACTGTCAGGATGCCGGTTTTAAACTATTCCTACAATAGTACCGCAAAACCATACAACAGGCGGTCTGCTACGCCCCAGATAGATGGTTAAAGGAAAGGATATTTACTGTTGATGAAAGGACGCAGACAAAACTGTGCGTGGAGAATTGGAACCCGAAGGACCAAACACCCATCCATGGAACGTGAAAAAATGAGCTTGCAGTCACCAAAGAATGGACACAATTAATTATGCAACCAGCAAGATTGCAGAAAGAGCAGCGATGCGACAATGCCACATCTAACGTCATTTACGAGTAATCGCAAATGCTAAATATGCAAATCTCTATTCCGATAATTACACAAGTACCACTCATCAACATGCATTCAAAGTAACTATACTGATATCAAATTAACCAGCAAACCATATATATAGATACACGCTATCAATACGTGGAGGATAAGACAATGACAGCTGACACCATAGTAATGGAGACTTTTAAAGATGTTTCTTGGAATAGAGTTAAAATGGAGAAATAACACCTTATTCAGTCGAAGCAACGATTTAGCGAAATCAACCAGAAGTGGGCGCCAGTGGATAAGCTCAGATGTTGTAATATGGAAGGTTTTCACAAGAGGAGGAAACAAACAAATCAATCAACACGTTTTGACGTTTTCAAAAGGTCCGTTGATTTAGAGCAATGACTGGTCGTAACATACCGGTTTTCATTCAGAGGAGAAGCATTTGATAATAAACGATGAGTTATTCTTTTCAGCATAACTTAGCAATTTTGTATCCTCACGTGCAGACGAAATCCGTCTTCTTGTGGAAGTAATCAAAAGAGACGCCGATTTCCTCGACTGATATTTAAAGTATCATAAATATATAAGAGTTGTGAGCGTCACCCCGTAAAGCAGAAGTACATTTACGTCAAAATTCTCAAGAAAATATCACAAGCAATACTAATTTTGGTAGTCTGTATCATCCAGCATTAAACCGAATAGCACAATGCATTGTGAAATAAAGTGTTCAACTCCTCGGATGGTCAGTGGGAATCATGACGACTTCCCATCTTTCACAAGTCAACAAAAAGAGCACAAATTGTGAAAAAAGAACAATCCGAGAAGTTGCAACGCTATCACACATTGTTTTAGCAATTCAACTTTAGGTAAAAGACGATAATGACAAGTTCCACGGATGCCTCTTTATTTTAGGTATGTCAAAATTAAAAAGTTTAATTGAAATTTCAAAACAACGATAATGCGGCCTCTCTTAAATGTTCTTCAGGACTCAAGTAAACGTAGAAGCTTCTGCAAAGCCGAGGCGGAAAATTGTCACCGAACATAACATATGAAGTGCGCATTATCTCAACCACAGTAGCACGGGAAATCCGACCAAACTTAAGGGAATAAATAGGCAAAGCTCCCAACAAGCGATAAAAATTGGGATCAGTGCAAGGAAACAAATAAAATCCAGTCATTAAAATAATGTTTGTAGGATGCATCACACCCTAGGTGTAATTTACATTTCCACGAGTTTTGTGTAGATGACTCCATTGTCCAAGTGGACTGTGAAAAACGGGTCCGAGCCCTCCGTTTCACTAAGCCATTTCAGTTACGTGGACTGTAGATGTAAAAAGCTTTCCACATAACTAAATGGTTCAAATCACGAAGGCAAGTCAAAAGTTTTAATTACAAGACAAAAGTAGTCCGGTTAAGCTCAAGAGGTCGACGTGATAAATGTAGTGGAAAAAGCATTGTCGCTACTGGAGAGGGCAAAGATAAGGACCTCCTTAATCCCTACTGCATTAGCAAGAAGCTAGAAAAATCTAATTAAAGAAATGACAAGAGTTATGCCAATTGTAGCTGAATCAGAGGCTAGTGTAAATTGACTAGTGGACAAGGCGGTTCATTTGACTGCAGCAAAGTGTGAAAGGGGTTTACCAAAACAAGTAATCAAGCGTGCCAAAAAAATACCATTTGGGACAATGAAGAATGGACTACATGTTCTGGCAACGTTAATAATAGGGTGAGAGACATGTTTTGGGTGTTAGATGAAAAAAGTTCAGGCGGCAAAGATGATAGGCAATTTTTCACAGCAAAAGAACACGCGGCGTGGACAGAAGACCATTAAAAAGGCCCAAGAATGTCTAAACGTAGGGGCTTATAGCAGCACAATCGCAACGCGCAGTTAAGGTTTTCTTTCGTGGGTAAGCAACAGCCAGAGCCAAAAAAGGCTAATGATTATTTTGATTTCCTAAATATATTGAGTAGCAAAGGAAGTTATAACCTTGTAGATAATTTGCTTTATGAAATGAATGACGCTGACGCGTCCTTGCAACCTTAACATGATCGCGTTAGGATAATGCGTAAAACATGTTACAGTCTATTGAAATTTGACTTTCAAGGTGTCGAGGTTAAGTGAACAAAATTGCAGGAGGATAAATCACATAGCAATGATGTGACGGGGAGCTGCAGTCCACGCCAATAGGTTGATGAGGCATTGCGTTTTGCCATGAGGGACACCCATCAGAAAGGCACACGTCTAAGATAGGTCCAATCAAAGTGGTTGCCACGACTACGTTCACTACCTAGTGATTACGATACCAATTCCTACGACAATCTATTCATCCCACGTGTGGGGGTTGTCACTAGTCTTAGAATGATGCGAAAGTCCCACATTAGGGCTGTCAAAATAAGTTGAACTCATTCGACGTGAGTGTGGGAAGGCCTTAAATTGTTGAAAAGATTGAGTGGAAGAAGCTGTTGGCTTTGAAAAGCACATATTTTACAGAATAATTATTAGCTTAGAACGCAAAGCCACTGGGTAAAACAGAGCAAATATCCATACAAAGTAAACTCATGATGCATGGAAGGTTTCAAAAAGGAACCGTTTTTTTTCGCAAAGGAAACCAAATAAGATTGAGTACGGCTTGGAAGAATATTTGCGGAGCGAAATGAACCCGTGGAGCTTTGAAAATGGAATTCAAGCATTTAAAAAGACAATGAAGTCATTCGTCCCAAAACATAGTCTGGTCGAATAAAAGCAGAGCCGATTACCTAGAACGCAGATATGAAAATAGGTGAAAGTGATAATTTGAAGACATATGGCTAAATAAAGGTTAATTGATAAGTGGGAAAAGGGCGACCGAGTGTGTCAGCTATCCCAAGTGACTATTCTTTTAATAAATATATGGAGCACCAGCTGTTGCTACTGCTGTTAGGTCCGACTCCACAGAGGAAGATGGCCTACGTCAGACAAGATACAGGGTAGACGCTGGAAGAAATGTACATTTAATTTAGGCAAAAAATGCACATTTTATCTCCTAGGTTGAACTTGCTCATATCCAAGTCCAGAAAGAAATGGTATCGATGAAGAAGCGTGACGCACAATCTAGAAACTGCGTTTCGTTAGTACTTTGTAAGTTACATTGGGGAAAATGGCCTAACAAATTAAAACTACGACATTGTTTTATGGTGACTGCATGCCTAACCACTGGGAAGACTTTAGAGTTCTTGGTCTGACAGGAAAACACAACCGAATGCTGCAATGAAGCCGTCATAAACCAAAATTTGCATTTAGAAAAAGTTTTATGACATAGCTAAGTGCTTATGCGTTTACTGTTCCCATATACGGAAAGTACAAAGATAAAAGATACAGATTAATATAATTTCGACTAAAATTATGCTCAACATAGGTTAATGAGATGGGCACTGTTAGCATTGATGTTCATCGTCACAAGAAGATTGCTAATACGCCTGTTGATCTTTATTGTGTAAGTAATCTGAACGTCTAGGGGACGAAGTAATTAAGTTTTAATGAGAAAGAAGTCAATGCTAGATGCCAACGGGGACCGAGATTCACTACAACGATGGAAAGAATAAATCTATAGCATGCGGAGATTGGCGAAGTACTACACTAGCACCCACAGTAAACTGGGAAAGACAATGAAGATAATTGGTTAGGCCGAAATTAATTTAAAACTTTTGAAGGAAGATTAATAGGTACGCGAAACCCGCATCATTACTGTTTTCATGCATTTGATAATTACTACTTTTTCCTCTACTTAGATACTTCCAAAAGATATCTCGTAAAAAGACAAAGCTCAAATCTATGAAACAAGCAAGCCTTAAGGGATTAAGGATTTTGCCATGGCCAAATATACTGAAACGAAATAAGGGAGTCACGTCTTAGAGGTTACCCATTATAACCTTTCTGAAAACAGGGGGTCGACATAGAATAATTGTTTTTGTGAAATTGCAACAAAAAATCGTCATTAGATAATAATAAGCCTGAAGTCCGTTTCACCTCGTTTCAGTCCGTTTCGGAAAATATCAAACCAAGCTACTTGATGTCTCAATGACAAATATCATGGTAATTTCATTACTCAAATAAACATTTAGTAAAAAGCATCACCAGCAACATACATAGTGCGACAATGAAATTATTAGGTGTAAATGCCGATAATAGAAAGGAAAGCTGATTCATCACCTGAAGAAAGTCAAACTTGGACACTCATCGCAGAATGAGATAAATATGAAAGAGATGACTTACCACAATCGAGTGACCGTCGGATGTGATTATGTTGACGACGCCTTTTGTAAAAATAAGGCCATTTGTTAAGGAAATTAGTCTAGAAAAATCAGCAAAAATTTGCAGGAGAAATGAAAGAAAATTTTGAGAAACAACAATTATTACACAAGCACAATTTTTGAGAACCAAAATCAGTATCAGCAAGTTGTCAAGTTTCAGCATAAATCTCAGAAGATTATAATCCATGCGGTAAACGAATAGAGTAAAAAATCTGGGTCGACACTACAAACGAAACGCTTCCAATGATCACTAGGGGGCCTTGGTACAGGCAATAGCCGAATCCACTTGACTTTTAAGTGGTACGGTGAAGACTTCAAAGATGTTTTGACTATGCTTTAAAACTGTTCAGACAGAAGGGTAAATAAGAACGTCTCATTAGTCTGTATTTTACAGAACACGAAGCGAGAGGTGGAAATTTGGGAAAATGACAGGCCGTACCTCCCCACAAATAAACCTGCATATCGGCGTCTACGGCTGGCAAGTTGTGCCAAATGCAGTGTAAAACCAAAGGCAGACAATCAGCGGTATGTTCAGCAATCCACCAACGTATAATTGTTTGCCAGGTTAGAGGCATCAGTCCACAGGCGTTTTATCATTTGCAGCCACGCCACATAATTCTAAATGATGTACAAGAAATAAATCCATTATCCCTTTAGCTGAAGACTTAACGCCATCCAAATTTGTTGTTATTCCGTTTTATTTGCGCCTGTCGATTTTGCACTTTTACAGTAAACTCAATTGGGTTTTAGTGGTACCAATTGATGCATCCTAAATTCATTGATGGCTCCCACTCTTGAATCAATGGGGACATATTTCCGACCTTTATAGACTTCAGTTACATTAATTCCAGTTCCAAAAATTTTCAACTTATTCTTAACCACTAAGGTCGTATTAACACCTTTGAACTTCAGAACCCGTCGCTGGAACAGAAACTTGCTATTGGGGAAAAGACATTATCGTAACCGGCACAAAACTGTTAATTCCAGCATAAGTAGTCACAGTTAACCACCTAAGTGAACCGTTCATGGCATGACAGCTGTCTTCTACATACCGGAAGTGGGAATCGTAATCAAGTACTGGACGACTGTAAGGGAAGGAGCCATCTTTCAAATAATTTTATCATATCGAAATCGCTCACGGAATGTGGTAATAACTTGCCAGTTATTAAACAACCCCCGACTTTTGGCAACGCTGCATCAGAGGTAAATGATATTAAATGGAACAACTTTAGAAAATTTATCCAGAAGAATAGCTTCAGCAAATAATCCCAGGTCTTTTTACCAGCTGTACAAACGGAAACTACGCCTCAAATAGCGTTCAAAATGATAGACTGAAGAAAATTTTTACCACTGGATCCAAACGGTATCAAAAATGTGGACAAGGAATTCTATGTAGACAATGTGAAGGATCGCAATAAGCGCACAGGTTAAATGGTGACCGAATGAACAACTAGGTACCACAATATGAAAATGAGAGGGACATGGCTTTTACTTTTTCCCATAAATGTAATTCATATGGTTCAAGAGACAAGCCGGATCACTTGACTATTTTTTCATAAGGAATAGCAATTTTGACGGTTTCACAAGAACACGGTACAGAGTCCATTAAGATCGCAAATTAGAACGAGAAAACTAAAAGTTCAGACTATGAGACGCTTGTGAGAGATTTTGCATTTTTAGTAAAGATAGCACTTCCAACCTCCAATCCTGCAAAAAAAGTATGAAGGATGAATTCATGGAAAGGAATTGACGCGGTGTAAAAGGAACGAAAGTGCGCGCAAGACCATCCGAGCGTTGGTGGAAAGTAAAACACCCCTACCTAATCAGTCATTCGTATGTACTGTTTACGCGCACAAGCACAATCAAATCATATGTAGGTGGCGAAGACAGTGAGAGGAGTCGTTTGCTTGATACCTTCAGAAATTACGTCAGATGCTTTCTCCTACAAGAGATTTACAACCAGAAAATGATGTTTTGCATCGTCTGACAGGATATATGATAAGGGGAACGGAAAACACGAGAAAGTATTCCCCTTATCAATGGTTAAATAAAACTGGTTTGGGTGGACTGACAGGAGTGTGAAAGACGTGGGGGAAAAAACGCTTCTGTAAAGTGAATTCTGTAAGGAATAACCAAAACGAACAAAATCCACGGCGAAGGGCTCTCCAAGACACCGAAAGTCCAAATACCACGGTCGCATGAAAGTAAAACGAACACAACACAAAACTAATAGAATCAGGTAAACATTATTGTTAAAGCATTTGGGTAGTCAGTTAGTCTACTTGCGTATCCTATCACCTGAAAAAAATGAGATACAATGCATATCAATCACTGATGCAATTACGTTATCTTAATCAAACCAATGAGGTGGACAAATGACACTCCTGTAATTTATTTGACCCGTGTCCAAATATCAACTGAAGACCATATCAATAATCCATTGCATGGTTCGATAAGACTAGATTTCTAGGATTTCATCAGTGCACGAATAAATCACAGGAATTCTACCTTTAGGCAGGATAGGCGAGGCTCACTTGGTGAAAGCTGTTTGACAACCATGCGATTCGGTTTAAATTCTGTAATGATTTAAGAGCTGATTGTACGGAATCATGAGCTGCACAACAGCAATCAATTAAAACTATATACAGGGTTTAAGCAGCGATTGTAAAATGAGATTCTGTCTTAAATATTGCTAAATATGAAATAAAATATGCAAACAAAAGGATACGTCCAACGTAAGCCTCCAACTCTGAAGCCATGGAGTTGTCGTCGAGGTTAACTCTACAAGGAAAAAGTGGGCTGCTATTAGTAAAAAGTTAACATATGAGCGGAACCACTCGGCGAACGGTGCACAGCTGGTTTGCATTCGTTGCTTAAATATTAAAAATATGGTTGAAGGGCACGAGGCCTAGTGTAACATTTAATGTAATAACGACCATAGATGGACTTAAATACCACGATCCTTCTGCATTGAGCTAGAAATAAATGGTGCAAGAAGTAAATGAGACCTGCACTTATTTATCACGTCGGATGTGATGGTGTTCTATCTAGTTAGAGCGAATTCTATGTATTTACTTCAGCAAAATACCAACTGTACGAAGATGGATGAACATGAATCTCAAAATAGAAATACAACCGATCGGACAATGTGGGATGAAAGGTCTATGCTATTCAAAGAAGCGATTAGAGAAAATAGATGACTAAAAGGGTGAGGAACGAAAGACAGTAAAAAGCCATGACTATTCCCCAGACAATAAAAACATCAAAGAGTAGGTTCAAGAAATTGAAAATGCACAGTGTGAGAAGGGAGTGAATGAGAGCGACATTTTCCAAGATCAAGGTTCCAGGCACATTCCCACTACAAAAACTGCGCAGTGGAAGAGCACGAAGGCGGATAAGACCGCGCGTTGATGGTTTGATGAGATTAGCACAACTAATTAGCTCGGTCATGTTCTCAAAATCCCTGCGGCACTCACAAGGCGAGCAAAAAACGCTCCGAACAGACTAATCTGAGTCGCAAGACTAACCAATACCGAATGCTGCTGCTACGGCTCTATCCCTCCCTCTTGCTCTCTCTTGGTTATCTAATCTTTGCTCCAGTGATCGCTCTAGCTAGTGAGTTAGTTAAGTTAGAGACTCATATAGAACGACTAGCTACTTCTATCATTTTCATATATCTAAATTTGAAAATAACCAGACTACCTCATCCGTTTATTAACTGGTACTTCAATAATCGTCTAGGAGGGTGTCCGTGAGCAAGTGGAAATAAATGAGTGGATAGTGCGAGATATGCAACGACGAAATTAAACGGATAAACCAGCAAACTGTAAATATTACAAGCATAATGCAAGTCAAATCCCGGAGCGATTCCTCTCCTCACGCCAACTCGCTATTGAGTCGACGACAGCCAATGCTTGAGCAGAGATTAATTACTCTCATAATAAGCTTTTAATCATGACTGCGAGCTTCTAAGAAAACAAATATGCGGTTGCTAGGACACGTGGAAAAACCGGCAGTGCAAAAGGACACTGTGGTGCTATAGAAAGCGTGAAGGTATTTCTCAAGGCGAAACAAATGCGTTTGTAATGAAAGAACCAAAACATGTTGTTGGATGTTTGTAAAGTGAAAAAACGCCACGACGCAAAACTTTTGGAAAAAAGTCGGCATATTAGTACCTGCTGAAAACATAGTAATTAATCTGATATTTAATTTATAGGACAAGCAATTATCACAACAGAGCCATCCATACGCACGCACCTCTATCTTAATATATAAAGGAAACACTATCGCAATTCCAACAAGCAAACAGGGTAAGTGAGTTCATGCAAAAAGTTTTATTGTATTTAAAACTCTATACATCTGGTACTCCCAAAACATTCAAACGCCGATTGGCTCGGATGTGGACGAAGGATCGGCGACGATTGTTTGTTCAGCCCATTCTTTGTAAATGGGGAGGAATTTTTTGAAAGCTCTGAGAGAGTATGGCGGAATTATCACACCTCCAGTTCGATCGCAAGCTCGCACACTTGACCCATCTACAGACGAAAAAAAGAGGTGAAATTTTAACATTTGCCGATGCACTAGGTAGCATCGGCAACGAAGATATGAAGGTCCATTGACCTTCCATGAAGCTGCAGTGGACGCACACAGCTAATTCTCAAGACTAACAGATCCACGCTCATCCAAGCCTCATGATGCTACTTCACTCGTTGAATTTTTTGATCACTCTAACAACGGGAGTGCAAATTTAAAGCAGAATGTTGTGGATGTCGAGCTCTAATTCTAATTGATAGAGCAAACTTATTTTACTCAGAATTCGTACAACAAGGTAGCTGCGCAAAGGATAATCTGAAGGAACGTTCCATAGAAACTCAACAAAAAGGATTATCCAGCTATGTTGTGAAAAAAAAGTACTTGACCTCGCCATTGCGTGACGAATTTGGGGATAAAGATAGGAATCGCTGCTGCTTAAGTGAAATGAGTGAGGACCATTAAGACACACAAAAAGCCACTCTTAGCAATTCACTATTTTAACAGTCCATTCGACAAAAATCAACAAAAAATTCAATGTTATACATGACTTTGATTATTTTATTTAGTTATCTATGAAAGACCCTGGATGGAAAATTGTCGTGTGCACATGCATACAACTAAACGAGCAGAAATAAGTTAATTTGAGTAATATTAGTAAGAAAAATGTATGGCATCATCCACGGCACGGTTGCTAGGTGGATGGAGTCACAGGTGACCGGATCACCTTTAGCAGGCTTACAACGAGCTGGTGCAGCAAGTTCCTTGCGTGAAAACACACATAGATTCAAATAGAAATAAAAGTGAAGAATAGAGATAAATTGTATAAACCCGTATAAAAAAAGTGGAGTTCACTTTCGAATGCTGATGGATGTTTTTTTTAAACAGAAACAATAAATTGTGATGATCTAAAAAAAGGTCAACGACTAGATTATGGAAAAGGAAGCAATTTTAAAATGAACGCGGACACAGTTTGGATTCAGAAAAGTTACATATAAGCAGTCATCTCTTATGCTTTTTAGGCTTAGTTTGCCGTGGTCGACGATAAGAGCGTCTCAGGGAGTTTTTCGATTTTCGTGGGATTGAGAGATTTTTGTCCAGTCAAATGTCGCTCACTACTGTCGAGAAATGATGACTGATGTGCATAACACACGGTAAACTTGCTTTCATTATTTCTTCAGCAGGAGAGCCTTGTAGCCTTGTTCCAGTGAAATGGCAATTAAATAAATCACGAAGGACGGGAAACTCAGTAAGCAGTTTTGCTACAAACAGCTAAGGAACGTTGGAGAAAATAAAGAAGCTCCTGCGGGGAGCAATTGATTGACCTTTATTATTTGAGGCGAAAGATGAATAAAGATACTTTTTCAGCTATTAAACACCAAATACTGATTTTTAGAACCATATAAAGTAAAAAATTACTTCAAAACTATCAACCAGCATGACTTGAGTTGGATAGTAAATTTTGCTGCCTTAAAATAATGTTTCAGTGCGAGGAAAAAAGATGTGAGCTGAGGTCTCATAAACAAGTGCCAGATGCGACGGACCGGAAACAAGGAAAAATTTGCAGCTTAGAGACGCGTCATGTAACAAGGTTATCAAGAGTACTTTTTACACCGCATTCAACGAGGAAATAGTCTCGAGCAGGAGGCAGAGTATTATGCCATGAGAAGTAACAGAGCAGGAATGTAAAAAAGAATGAAAAGAATGCGATGCGCATAGTGCGAGACCACAAAGACGGTATTGATTCAACAGGGATATTTTGGTTTGGTATTAACCTTCCATGGCGACCTATGCCAGAAAAAATATTTAGGACGCGCAATGGAACCTTAAGAAAGCAACCTAACGCCACATTGATGTATGGAAAGAATTTCTTCCCATATGGTGATCGTAGATTACCTACTTGGCATGATTCCTCTTTTACAGCAAGCCACTGTCATAAAACGAAACGCAAATAGGCTTGATAAGGAGAGGAAGTTAACGGGAGTGTTTAGTGGGGGCATAGGGATTGGAGCAGCTCTCCGAAGTTTGAAGTATGTTGCCATAAAAAAACAGTTATAGCCGTTTAACCAAAAAACCGCGAAAATGGGGTCTACACTGCAGTGATAAAAAAGCACTCCTAGACAGTCCAATCGGAGCTTTCAGCATGCGAAGCAGTCACATTAGCGAAAGTGGGATACATAACCCATCAGATTACCTAGGTAAAACAATGAACGCATTGCAAACTTTCAGTTATTAATAAGCTCAATCATTATAGCTTTTGAGTTTGCATTTTTTGAAGCTCTTTTAATCGAGAGGATACATGCAGAACCTAATTAGGTCTGCAGTACAAAAATGTAATAACATTAGTGTTTCGTGCAAACACAGCCTGGTAAAATAATGAGTTGGAGAGTGTTTCGAAAATTTGGAGCCGAAAGCCAAATGAAGTAAGGTATTTTACGTACAATATTAGGGTTTCATGGAGCTTTGATTGGTCACAAGCAATAGCTGACCACACTTACCTATTTGGATACTTTATTACTCATTACATGAGCATGGATTAAATTGGTCCATTTAAACACTCCAACTGGAAAAAGTTAACCTAACCAACAAAAACAAGTACCTATGGGATGAAAGCAATCGTGGAAAAATTCTTTCTGCCTCGTCACGGCCAATAAGGCAAAAAACTAAACCCGTGACAATTTAAATTGGCGCTAAATCACAGTCTAAGTTTCGACCAAAGCCGTAGTCTTAAAAAGCCCTGACAAGTCGAAAGTTGGCGCCAAGCAAAAGTTGACAAAAGCGCTCTGAGCTTCAATAAACACAACAAGCAGTACACTTCCATACTTCAATATTCAAATAAAAGATCTCTTAATAACTTAGGTGATGAGGAGGATCAACGTGTTAACAGTGTAAAATTGGATAGGGGAAAGTTGCCAACAAAAACTTCACAGCTAGTAGGTAGAATTTTCGTTAAAATAGGACTAGACACAACAATGAAAATGGTCAATGAATACGTTAAACGTGAAGGCAATATTACGAAATCAAAAATGCGAGAAAAGCCACTGCCTTTCGGTACGATGCCGCGAGCAACTAAATCACGGAAGTGAGCGATTTCCAGCTCGAGATTGGCGATTAGACGACGGTTTGGGAGGATGGGAGAGTCGTAAGGCTGTGAGTCTGGTGATTCCTTTTCCTTTTTTCGCTGTTTCGACTTTGTAGTCAACTGACTGGAGCCCATCATAGACCGGATAATGATTATCTTAGAGTCCCAGTAGAACTTGGTGGAGGCAAGGAGGGTGGCGTAAACATGGAGGCTGGGGCGCACTGTGCCAACGTGGGCTGGTAGCCCTGAGTCCCACGTCAGTTTAGCAGCCTTTGAGTAGCTGGTGAGGAAATCTCGAACCTGCTTTGTGGTGCGGCACCCGCGCGCCAAACAACTCCAAGTGAACTGCAATGAGGCAGAATACGCCAGTTTTACCACGACGTTTGTATTTTAGAATGTCCTACGGAGCAATCGACATTAGCAGCGAGCTGAATAAAAACAAAAGAATTGAAAATTAATAAAAATAACTTATGATCACAGACGAATGGAAGAAAAACATGAGTAGCAAATTATTAGGGAAGTGTGACAAAGGAAAGGAAGACTAATAAAAATATGGTCGACAAAGAGAATCCAAGCAGGAAAAATACTTGTTAAAATACATAAATCATAAGCACACAGTGTTTAAAAAAAGAGTAAAATGTAAGACCGGTTATTTGATGGAGCCTAGCATCATCCGAAGAAGCGATAAGTGATAGTTCGAACAAAATCCGACTCAAACTATAAAAGGTTTTTAAAATTGGATTTTAGCACTGAACAGTTGGTAAACTTGCGTAAGAGCCGCTCCTCCGACTATCGTAACAGCATTCCATTAAGTACACCTGGTGAGGAATGAAAAATGAGTGCACAACCGGAGTTTGAGTAGTAGGAGCACCCACGCACCAAAATATGAAGGAGAAACGAGAACATTCAGGAACAAAAAATCATCGAGAACATAAGTATTGGATGCTGCAAGCAATATTGGTTGCATCACTGATATGATTCTTAAAAGAAGGGGAGTAGAAATCTTTCTTATTATTGTCACAATTAAGATCCCGCTTATTAATCATAAAAACCCAACGTTTGTATGTCGCATTTTTACACTAATGTGTTGGCATTTCATATCCCTAAAAACAGTTACCTGTATTTATTTGTAAGTTCCAATTCACACAGTAGGCAAATCTATCCACCACTCTAATGTTTCAATATATTGAATATTTCAGAAGGCCAGATGTCGTTAAATAACCATGAAAACGCGTTCCATTTTTTTAAACGTGTGGAGGTGACAGCTGAAAACTCTCACATAGAAAAGTGCTTTAAGCCCAATCGTATTTTAACACTTGCCAATATTTTATTTCTCATAACTGGCCTAAGGCGCATTTGAAATGAACGACCAAGCGCAAGAGTAAGTTAAATAAGATTAAGGGATGAGCAATCGGGAAGACCACAAGATGAGTGGCAATCGCCTCAGATCGCATAGCCAAGGGAGAGAAGAGAAAGATGCTTGGAAAGCTGACTTCATCGCAAATTCACCTCTTACAAAGAGCATGTACATCGTTAATAATGAAATAGTCGGAGCAAGAACCTTAAAAAAAACGTAAACAAACAGGATTCTCCTGAAAATAACGATTTACGAAACAAAATAACAACAGTTTCAATTCGTAGCATCAAACTACAAGATGTAAGCTGCAAACAAACTGACTGCAGTTGTTGTTGAACAGGCCGCAGCTCAAGCGAAAAAGGTCATTGGCATCAAATCCGAGCTTAATCCAGCACTCACTAAAGCTAATTCATGCCACCTGAACAAACTCACCACCGTGCTAGCGGCGATTCATTTAGATAAAGTGGGCAAAGACTGTAATTAATTAGTGAAAAGATATCTACATGTAATCAATTTGTCAGTAATGGCTATCAATAAAACACCACAATCCAAAATATGAAAAAAATAGATCTCTGTCAATCGCTACATAAATTGTAGCATTAGTCCCGTAGAAATTAAAAATGACCAGAATTAGTAAAGCCCACCAACGATAGCGAATAAAGCGGGTAAAAATTTCCCTTATAATATTGCGTTATAAGAGGAAGAGGACCAAATATTTGGCATAATTTCATTCATTCGTTCCCACTTAGTCTGGACACATTAAGCTTTGCTTTATAAATAAAATTACAATTCAACTCAATTTCGGTTGTAAGAAAATTCTTATATATCCCAAAGTGGCCACAATAACCTTGGCCGAACCAAGATCAAACACCAAGGCGAACAATTTACTTTTGAGCTGGTCTGAATTTGGCCTACCATGTATGTTAAAACTGTTAACTATTCAGCTTTTCAACGTCACAGGAAAGCATATTTCATTCACAATCGGAAACATAGTTTTTGATTTCGGATGTTCGAAGATCCACTTATGAGAAAATGAGGGCTCACTTCATCTGGCGAAAGGCCTTGACGATTCGCGATAGACATCAATTCGTCCACAGGCAGTCCATGTGTTGTTCTCCGCTGAAGGAGGACGTTGAGTACGGGTAAGTCCAAAATGACTTTGTTACTATCCATAGCGTTAAGTAGTGCGCTTTCCCACCGATCCAACTCGGCGCCCGCGTTCTCCGAGGGAGGTGGCAAAAGGGCGGCAACCTTTGTAATCAGTGGTGACGTCGGTGATTGAGAGAGCTAGTAAAGATCAGACTCGGCAGTCAAGATTCTCAGATGGATAAAAGGTTCCAGTGGCATGGACCGCTACGGGTATAAGCACTCTAATATCAGTCTAAAACAACCAAAGCAGTCAAAACATCTGACAGTGAGAATAAAAAATAGACATGGGTACGGTCATAAACTAGATTTAAAAAGATTCCAATATGAATAATAATATGCATAAGAAAATAGTTAAATGATTAGAAAGTGAGGTATTTTTAATAACTTATTCAAAACGGCCTGAGTTAAAACCAAATATTCAAATAAGTTCCAGGAAAATACGCCATTAATTGCAGAAAAATAGAGAATTTCAGCGAAGGCAAACTACAGTAAGTACTGAACAGTAAAACAGTTAATAATTACCTTAAAATTAGTTCTAATACATTCCAGAAAGCCCTCCAGTCCACCAAATAAGGCCAATCTTTGCCACGGTGGCAAAGAACTGTGGTTTTGAGGACATTCCTTCTTCGTGGGGATCTGGATCTGTTGGTAATTTTAAAAAGTGTAAGAAATCCAGGGCGCCGTTTTACAAAAAAACATATATCTCAGATGCGCCGGTAGCTTGTCCTTAAAATCACAAGCAAACAGCAATGCCTCAATCCATTTAGTCCGGTCAAACAGAAAAGTCTGTTAAAATAAAAGCACGCTTTGAGGGATCTCTGACACTAGGCGTTGAGAGAGTAATACACTAAAAATGTATTCGTATCCATCAAACTGCCTTACCGCTCATAGAAAACTGAAACCACGAAGTAGACATGAAGTGCATTTGCAAATATGATGCAGCCGATCGAAGGCTGGATAAATTACAGGCTCGGTATTGTAAAAAATGATAAAAAACGAGTATTTCTGATAATCCGACTAATTTCGCTCCATTTATGGTACCAGTTTGCGAAAATTGCAGGTAGATTATGAGTAACACGAACGTCCAGATACACCTTCATGCATCCGAGTTTGAAATGCATAAAGCTCAATAACTAAAAAACTATCGTATAATGGACAAGCATTTGAGAAAACCAGTGAGCAGTACGTAATCGAAACTTGCATTGGGATATAACGAAACTGGGAAATTGGCTACAAACCTCAATGTATGTCATGTAAAATTCTATGCAGTCCACATAAGAGAAGACGATTGCCCACCCACTTAAAACACCGAAACAATGAAATTTGTGCTTCCCAAACAGCTTGACACTACTTTCCTTGTTATCTAACTTCAATCCACTTATGATCGACTAAGGTTGTATTAGGTCAGGAGATTTCACGTTTACATGAATTTTGTAAAGGGAGTGCTAAAGTAAGGTTCCAAAGGGAAGGGATGATGACAGGATTATACAGACGAGCTGGTCTTCTTTACAGTAAAAAAATAGTGAAACATGCAGAGTTTCAGAGAGCAAAGGTAGGACTAGAATACAGCTATTGAAAGGCAAAATTGATTAAAGTTGAGTTCGTACGGATCATGATTGTAAATAGTCAAGGCAGTCAAATGGTTTAGTTTACTTTATTATAACATTTAAAACGCAAACTCCAAAATTACGTGTAATAATAAAGCAAAAGTGCGCACTCTTAATTTTGATATTTATTTGTCGCGCAGACAACTATAAGTCTAAATGCCAAGGGCCCAAATACTTTCACTCCAATAACTTCCTATAAAGCTGATACAGCAAAACTGCCTGACGGTTATGACATTCAAAGCTGTGGCAGTTCATTTTTTAAGTAAAGTGAATTTTAGTAAAAGATAACTTGTAGTTTAAAGAGAAACACGAACGCTTCGTACTTAACTTTCGCCTTGTAGAGTCGAAAGCTCCGACAAATATTCCAGCAGGCACCCACACTGATGTTTTGATCTTAGGTCACGCCAAATACTGCCAAATTATGGAAAATGTAGTTACAAAAGGACCTCTAGACAATGAAATTGTGCAGGAGCTTACTCTGATACCCTCCTGCGGAAGCGGTAGTAAGAGATTTACTTGGCTCCGCATAACTATGTCAGGATTAGTCCAATCAGGAGAAAACGTATTCGGCAGCAAAAAACAGGAATTTGAAGAAACAGGTACTAGAGGAGTGGTGTCGGAGGGGGTTGAGTTAGTTGAGAGTTGTGACGGTATGTCACCACCCGATGCCAGAAGCGCCACCCGTCTCAAAAGGTTCTTTGCCGCTTTCTCAGAGGCCAAAATGCGCGGAGATAGGGAAGGCTGCGGTTCTCGCAGTTTCGGCAAGCTCTCGGGGATCACCTGTAATTGTCACCATGCGAGGAAATTAAATACTACTTGCTGATTAAAGTAGAAAGAACTTTATCTGATGAAAAAGGGGATAGGCTACCAGACTTGAATTCAAGCCGAAAAAAACTACTACAAAAACCCAACGACTTTGAATGAAATCTATCTCGGCGGGCTTCACATAGGGCCAATGTCAACAGTACCTTACTTGGTCACTTTGTTAAAAAAATTTTGGAATGGTTACAGGTAATATTCGACCATCATCAATGATTACTACAAAAAATAAAGAACATAAACTATACAGTTTCTTCTCTTGTTCCCGTTTTATTCCAGTGAATAATAATCGAACTGATTGCACGATCAACCTTTGGAGATATACAACTGGACTTTTACCACGTTCCACGTAGGGTTTTTAATGTACTCGAATTCTGATACATTTTGGCATGAGTGAAATTTGGGTGAAAAAAGCTTTCCTCACGCCGATGCAAAAATAGCAGGAAACGTGAGCAAAAGTGGGGCACCTCAAGATAGTTCTTCGCTGAGGTGTCGGCTTTTCGCCGTCCGATACCACTCCCAAGGGATGTGGGGAGGGAAAATCGACCATTCTTGGGCTCGGTGAGAGCAGCAATGCCAGCAAGGAGAGTAAAGTGATGCAAACTGGGCTGCCTACGTGGCAGACGAGGGAGGATGAGGTGCCACGCGTGCAGTGCCAAGCGGAGGGCGTCAAGGGACGAGACAAGGAAGCCAGACTTGAAAGACTGTAGCACCGCTGTGAGAACCGCAGTCAGAGTGTACTCATCTGGTCGGAAGGGCGGAAGGGGCTCAGCTGAGCAAGTGGGCGAAGGAGGAGTCATCGAAGAGTGCAGAATCGATGGTGGCAGTCCACCCTGACCTAGCAACATCGCATCCAGCGCCTGGAAGCAGGCATGGAGGTCACCAGCTGCAAAATTAGAGAAAGTAATAATTTACCTATGTACGTCACTTTTTGCTGGTTTATGTAGTGTTGAATCGCTTTCCAGGCTCGAAAATCAAAGGTTCAACACGAAACCTAAGACCTCTTTTGCATTGGACAAGTCATTTGCGAAAACCAAAATGAAGTAGTGGCCCGGCAATACCTTTAGCCAGAGTCTGCAGAAGCGTGTTGTAGGTGATTCGATTCATTCGAAAGCCACGTTCGTGCAACCGAACCCAAAGACCCTTTGCACGTCCAAGAGCGGGTCCAGCAAGCAAATCGAGGTCAGATTGCGAACTAAGGCAATTTTAAAGAAGAAAATAGTCGTGAAATGACGAATTGCAGCCCAAACTATAAAAAGGTGCGATTGAGGCAATGCTACGAGACAGTTAGCCGTCAAAGCAGCATGATTCGGACAAAAGAATGCGAAGGACATGAGTGGTTTTGTCTCAAATAGGCAAATGATAGTACTAAAAATCACCTGATTTCTTTAGGATTACTCGGTCCATTAAACCTGTAGCGATGTTCCCGCTGCCAAGCCCCAATGTCTTCAGTGCACGACCTACAACAGGTAAATAAGTTTGGCCTCAAAAGCAAACGTTTTCAGTCGCAGAACTAAGCTTGACCAGCGCTCGAATTTCTTTGGTGAAAGCGGGGGGGACAATCAGTTGACTAGAGTTGGAAAATGGGCAAAATTACCTAAAAAGGCGTGAATATGTAGAATTGGTTGCAGGGATGCCCAATTCGGTCATCTTACGATAAACCTTGAAGGCAGACTCGCTGTCACCCACCTCGGCCAGTCCACTCAAAAGAAGGTGAATGATATTACGGTCCGGCATGACTCGATCAACAGTTAACATTTTGTGGAAAAAAAGCTAGACAAACAAGAAACAGGATCATCAGTTAGACCCACAAATAGTAGACTTGGAACCCAATCTTATAAAAACGCTTTGTCTAAAAGCATTGACCAGTAGATGCTTACTATAGATTTCACCATACAACAAGGATACCCACTATAGATAACAACAATTGTATACACCAGCTGTGCGCCTAACGCGTGGAGGAATAACATCCAGGATCACTAATACACTAAGGATCCCAACTTTTTTAACCGACACTTTCACCAGAATTAATACAAGAGTGTGCCCAAATAAGCACCTTGGAATAATTGGAGGTAAGTCTATGTAGCCACATAAAGCCGATAATATTTTACCTCAACTGCCGAGCGCGTATCTCCATCTTTACAGAGCTTGTTTATTCTCCAAAGATACCAAGTAGGTTCGTGATTTCTTCCGGTTTTTGATAAGCGAAGATGGTTATCTTTAACGGGCTGCTCCCCCGCGACATCAAACTCATCAAAGTCGTCAGGATCCAATAGACCAGCTAAGATTTTTACAGGGTAATAAATAGTCAACATAACTAATGCTTCGCAAAGGCACTACGACCAAGCATTTACTAGACCTACCCCGATCAGCAAGAGCTCCAAATACCACCGGTTCAGCATTCAAACTAATCACTCCCCTTGCCACTGAATTGCTTGAAGAGTCTACTGATCTATCAGCGACGTAAGTAGGATTTGCAGGGAACTGCGCACGATACACTCGTTTATCCAGGTCATTAACCAAACGCATTAACTGGGGAGCTGTGACCAAACCTAACTGCCGAGCAAAGTTCCACATGTGTGCGAAAAGAACTACTCTTCCATGTAGATAAAACATAACCCTATTCGAATAACAAAGCTTCAAGCAACACAAGGTTGAGTTAGAGGGTATGCCCCAGACGCCGAAAAGCAAAATACCGTCGAGGCCGGCTTCACCTCGCCGCCTATAACACGGGTTTAGTGAAACAAAGCATCAGTCGTGGGTAGTTATAAAAACACTGCCTTGGATCAAATCAGCCAAATTTTTTAAGGTATAAAAAAAGAACGCAATATTATTAGGATGCATCACTTTTTCTAGAACTGCACATCACTACCAATGAAATAAGTGCTATGCAAACGAGTACCAACACTGCTATTGTATTCAAAAAAAAATTTAATTTTCGTTATTAAAAGTGCAACATGTTGTAAAAAAGTGGGGAAAAGATCTACGGGGGGTGGTATGGTACTTGCTGGAATAAATAGATCGCTAGATTACTTGGCCCATAACTAATAATTTGTTCGTGTCTCTGCACTGCAGAAGCCAAAATGCATCCCTCAAATGCAGTTAGGAGTATTCATTAGAAGATATTCTTAAAAATTTTATTGATTTGGCTATTGGGGAATGCTGTCTGCAAATAGATATGCAATTAAGGAACATGCACAGACATTGAACACTATGACTAATTTTTTAGCTAAGCTATTTTGCTTTTATTGAAATTACGCATGAATGGATTGAGCTATTATCTTGTTTCCAAGTTATTTTTTTAGAAAAATATAATTGTAAAATTTTAAGAACGAATTTTTAAATATGTTTATGAATTAAACATTTATTTTATGTGATATAGTTGCAGAAAATCACTTTAGCTCTATTGAACATTGCTTTGTTTGGATTTTCCATTTGTCGATTAGGTTGTTGAAGTTGGACTTAGTGTTTGGCCATCGTGTGGTGCGTACCTTTTTCTTCGTGCTGGATGTCGTTGTGTTCTTAAGAGATCTACTTTTTCGTGAATACTTCCTTTATTACATCGTTGCCACCTGTACTTTATGTGTGTCCTCGTGGGCTTAACCACGTTTGACATTCCAAATGGTAGCTTGGAATCTATTTCTGGCTCAACGGAGTCATTGGAATACTTTAAATGATGGGTTCGGACTTTTTACCTGCCTCTCCACTTTGTGTTATGCGTGTGACTTTTGCTGTTTTGTAGTCTATTATTTGTTATTAGTGGGAGTTTCGACATTGCTTCTGATGTTACCATTAGGAGTCGATAATGCCTATGTGCATGATGCACCTTGGATCCTCTTTGCTTTTAAACGGACTTGATTACTTTATCATTATTTACTTTAAGATGCGGTAAACGGGCATGCAGCGCCAATTGACTGCCCTTAACTCATTCCATCTTCCAGCGGTTGAATGTTGCTTTTGTTTGCTAATTTGTAGAAAAGTGAGTGATGTATGGTTCCGGTGATAACTACTATGGTACATTAATTCCACCAATACCATATGATGTGGGAGAGGGTCGGAATCTGATATCGTCAGCTTCAACACGTTCATCCCAACCGACTCCGCCAACGCATATTCCTGTTGACTTTGCTACGGCTCTGGCTCTGGCCGCTGCTTCAGCTGCAGCGAACAACGGTAGTATGAACGGCGTCAATAGCGGTGGCAACAGCAATGAAGCTCTCGATGGGGAAAAAATCAACTACTGTTCGATGCCGACAGCAGGGCTAAACGATTACCCGACGAATTGCTACCCTCCCCCGCAATCAAATTCCCCAACCGATTGCAACGCAATGTACCTCTCTCGTGGAGCCGCAGATAGTGGGAATGGTACCTTCTATCCCGGGAATTCATGTCCTTATCAAAATGCACATCAAGATTGTGACACTCTTTATCACCATCCTGCGGGGAGTGGCTTCACTGCAGGAGACGCTCTGCAGGCCTCACCCTACAATGCTCAATTTGGTGAACGCGTTGGGATGAATGCCTCTCCCTACATGATGTACCCCAACGGAATCGCTGACGACCTTGTTGAGCGATTTAATTGTGTCAGCTTGAATGATGCAGTGGCGGCACAGCAGCCTTATATCTATCCCGCATCTCCACTGCATCAAAATGACCCACTAGTTGATAGTCAGTGGCGACATTTTGTGGGGAAGGTAATTGCTATTATGTGGGAGAATATTTGTGTGTGCTAGGTAGTTATATGTGGATAAATTCCATTTTGATTCATCTTCATCTTCAGATATTTGCAGCCGTTTTGTAGTTATCTGGCGACACCGGATCATCACAGCGTTTAGGTATTTGTGAAACGCGAGTTTGTCGTTACTAGGCTAATTGTTTTGCCTGGGATCTGCACGTGCCAATTTGAAAGTTTTTTTCCCTAGAACGTTTTAATTTGAGAATTCCACTTCAAATATCGCATTTTAATCTTAAGATCCCTGCCTATAAGCAAGATGAGAATTCTATTACTACGATTCATCTAAATAATCTCGTGTGGATAATTTTCGTGCAAGCCATGCGATTTATTTTGGAAAATGGGCTCCTCGATTGCTTTTGTACATAATCAACTTCATTACTACAAGGCTTTCAAGTAATTTCTTTCGTTAGAGGTAACCTGGCGTTCGAATTTACGGTCTTCTCTTGTTCTAAAAATAAAATATACTAAGCTGTGGGATATTTAGCTTTATTATTGAGAACATTGTCTTCTCTGCCCGTAAAAATGATCACATTAATTTATTATTAGGCCAAAACTGATTAATCTACTCCTGTGCGTATGATATTGCAAAAGGTAGCTATACACTACGGCCGTTGAACTTAGCACTGATTCCTAGGAAATGGATTCTGTGGCTTATTCACGGATCTTTAATGTGTTTTCCTGAAATGTAGACTTTCCGCCTCAATTCACATTTAAGCTTCGTGCTGTGGTGTTCAAATCACGATAAACTCCTTTGTATCCTTTTGAGTTGCGCGGTCACTATGGAAAACGTCATTTTTCACTGCTGTTTAAGCACTGTGAGTTAGTAGATTTCACTGCCAACTTGTCACATAATGGCATTGTCGGGTTGCGCTGATCCAGTGAATGTTGGGAGTATCGAACACGTTTTCTATCAGTAGGAAAAAAACATCTGGTTTCGTCCATGCTTGCTGGCAGGTAATCAGTTTGCAGAATGTCCACCTTTCTTAGTGCTACTATTCAGAAGCAGTATTAAATTCTTGGTCTCCTGATAGCGATTTGTTGGGAGTTTTGCAGTTACCCTATTTCGACAAGTCTGTTTAATGTTATTGTCTTTTTGTACTAGTACCTCTCGTCGTGCTTTGGAAATGTTCAATACATAGCCTATTAAAGTTGTATTTTCATTATTGATGATACCCTAGGTAAATGGCGAATGGATCTTACTTTTTGAATGTGATCAGGTAACTGGCACACTATGTCCATTACCCCCTCTTGGCCATGCTTCTGGCCTAAGTTGTACCAGTTCCAAGTCCCATTTGCGACCGAGTATTTATAACCAAATGAAGTAGAGGGCAGTAAGGTCTGGAGTTGATGCTTTTGAAACCAAAGTGAGGAATATTGCGAGCGATTTGTTTGGTTCTAATGTCTTTGATCTTTGACGTTGGTATTGCACGCATAACTGATAACATCTGGTCTGGTTTAGATTTGATGTTGGATTCGCTCCTTTTTGTGGGTGTCCCTGCAACAAATCGATATTTACGGAAAACTCTTTGAAACCCCATGGGTAATTTACACATCGTCTGTAATTCCTCGTTCGCAGGACCGTAACGGCTTCGCCTTCATGGGACCGGGAGTCGGTCGATTAGCTGATCGCTATCAGCATGATAGTGGCTGCTCGGGCGTCGCTGTCAATGGTGATGCCCATCGTAATTGGGCTCTCGGTGGTGTTAAACTCGGCAATAATCCTGCCGATGCATGTAGCTGGCCTGTCACCAAGCGGTCTCTGCACTTTACGCCAAGTGATATCGCCACTGTAATGGGAAATCCGGAAATTTCTGGAGATACGGTGGGATTCGGCTTCAGGTTTGTCATACAGTTCCCTCTTGAAGCACTGAATACACGTTTGTTAAACGTTTAAATCTGTATTGCTAGTTTGGTACAGACTAGTTCTGTCACTTGAAGGGGCCTGTGCGGAAGCTTGTCAATAACTGTTCCTTAATAAAATAGAAATATAAGGTACTTGCTATAGTGGATTTGGTAATCGGGTCTAACCACAACAAAGACGCAGTATAAGCATATTTTTGCACAAATGGTATAAGTACCAGAAGTAGACTATTTGCTCCTTAGGCACAATCGACACCGCCCTCGAGTGCAGAAGAACGGAGAGCGACCCGTTCCTTGTGCTCCGCGAGGCATCATCAGGGACGGTGTATATGAGCGTCTAGCCGATTCCAATGCGACCAACTTAGAAGAAGCAATGAATAAACCTTCCGGTATTAGCAGCACTGGGGATTCCCTTCAAGCTCGTCTCCTGCGTCAAGTCAATCCACCGACCTTCAATACTAACCCTTCGAGGGCTCGTTTCTTTGTGATTAAGTCTTTCTCTGAGGACGACATCCATCGCTCCATCAAGTATTCTATCTGGTGCTCAACAGAGGCGGGCAATAAGAAGTTAAATGCAGCTTACACAGAGGCTGCCAGCGCTGGCGTGCCTATCTATCTTTTCTTCTCGGTTAACGGATCTGGTCACTTCTGCGGAATCGCGGAGATGACCTCAGGTGTGGACTACGCGACCCGAGCGGGTGTCTGGGCACAAGACAAGTGGCAGGGTCAGTTCTCGGTCAAGTGGATCTATGTGAAGGATGTGCCCAATGTGGTGTTGAGGCACATCCACCTTGAAACCAATGATAATAAGCCGGTTACACATTCGAGGGATACCACTGAGGTACCATTGGAGCATGGGCAGGAGGTTTTGGAGATATTTGCCAAATACGACAATGCTACTTCCATTTTGAATGATTTTGACTATTATGAGCGGAGGGAGCAGCAAGAGGTAACTACTCTCAAGCCTACTTTCTTATTCATATATACTTCCGGTTATAAATAGAAATGGCCTTGTATAGGAATTTCGCGGACTGATAATGAATTGTGATTTGACTCTATTTTTTTCATCCATGACGAATCTAAGTGGTGCGGCGTTGCTGTGGTGCAAAGTTTGGACGATTAGCTAGATTGATAAATTATGGAATATGACCTCAAGGGTCATGATAATCTGCTTGTGCGGATTGTAAAAATTTACGCAGCCAGTGTTCTCTTACCTCATCAAACATAGTAGGGTGTTTTTTATCATTATCGTCTGACACAATATGGCTGATGCTCCTCATCAATTGAAAAGTGCTTACCAGTTTACACTTTCCTTCTCAAATTGTACCACCGGTGTTTCACTGCAGACTAACCTAGACAAACGTTGACCAGCCTATTTTGTCGAACTTCTACTCACTTACCTTAGTGTGGTCACGTTTTTTTCATCATTTGGGAATGTACGCCTACTTGATCTCAGCTTAATCGGACTTTTCAGCTCAATCGCAAGGAGACTCTTCGACGACGATGAAACTACGGGTTTGTCGCCACTCACTATTGATCAATCGTCAGCGACTTCCCTTCTTCGCCATCGTAGCGCCCTGTAAAGTAGCCCACCGTTGGTTGTATAGAACCACTACTCTTCTCCAAAAACACCAATTAAGTACCACTTGATAATTGATTTTAATTGATTGCAATGGATACCTTGTTTTACCAACTGGCTTCTTTCTACTTCTGCTAAAAAATTTCATTTCCCACCCACTCCTTGTCCTACTCTGCCCCACTTTCATGAACGCCTCGTCTGTCTATCATGTAACAACTGGCCTCTGCAACATTTCTATTTAGCAGAAAGACTGTGTACACCACTCAAATGCAAACAAGCGAAAGGGCTATTTTCGAAAGTTAAGTTTATCCCATGCCTTTTTTGCCCTAAACTCCGCCCTATTGTAACTGTAACACGCGCTTCTAATGGGACCTTTTTGTTTGTAAAGTGGTGTTGTTACTTTTAGCATTGCTTTAGTTGGTAGAAATTCGCTCTTAAGCAGCCTCGTAAGTCTCGCAAGCTGTAGCAACAGTAAGATAACACTTCTACATTGCACTGACGTATACATTCATTTGCAAAAGGTAAGTCCAGATGGAAGAGTTCGTTTAGCGGTGTAGTGTTAGGTAAGGGAGGCGAGTTGTTGAGCTTCGGTGCCAAGGAAACGGACGAATAGAGCACTGATCTCGTCCTCGCTTGTTCGTCTGGTTACTCTTGTATCCGCGCCAGCACCCAGACCGGATCGAACAAAAGCGAAGAAGTGGCGTTTTGCCTTAGCTAGAATGGCCGGTGTCCAGGTCTCTTGGTCAGCAAGTTGGAGAACCACATCCTCCTGATTTGGTAGAGCCACTTTCTCGTCACCTCGCGATTGGGCGGTAAGAATTAGGCTGATCACTTTGTTAGTGGCCCTTTCAACTGTCTAGAGTTAAAGGCAGCAGTCACATTTCCTCCCAAGAGAGGTCATTTCACAGGATTAGTAGGCATACAGATGGATTGTCAAGCCTGTTTACATTAAATCAGCAAATACAGTTGCTAGACTTAAGTTGTCAGCGTAGATGTTGTCTGGAGATATGCATTAATTCGGTGAAAGGGGGCATTTTAGTGGTATTTCTTACCTGGATATAGTCGGCAGCTGCAGATTTTGAAGGGACAGTTGACTGATTTGGCTTGACTTCCACGTTTGATTGAAGCAAATCACGGATCACACGACTGGCCAGATCCTCCACTAACTGTTTGAATTCCTCTCCGGGGTCAAAAGGCCCATCTGCTTTGGGCAGGCAGATCTCATAGAGTGGGTTGTCCCACCGCGAGGTGCCATTCGGACGTTCAAATCTATTGACAAGGTCCGTAAAAATCTCCTCTGGATAGCGAGCTGTCTAAAATCACCAATAACCGATTTCCTGCCTGGATCTCGGAATAAACTCGACAGAAACGAGGCTTTTAATCGCTGCAGTTGGAAGTAAAAGTTGAAAATGATGTGCCCCCGACACAGTCTTTTTCATCAAACAACAACCAGCGATATGCGAGAAAAGTGGTAAGTAATCGTGGACTTCACTCTTACGCCAGCTCGAAAAAAATTAACCACATTTTTGAGCTTTTTGCATAAGAACTGTAGGGCCAAGTAGGTTGAGAATGGACCTGAGACTCACCTGGGCGTTGTTTGCCCGGCACATCGCCTCAGGTGTTGTACAGTAGACAATAGCCTGTTGTTGCCGCGTGGCCTTTGCCACACAGTACATCTCATAGCGATATCCCTTGATGTAATTGTTTGCATCCACCAGCACACACAGTGCCGAACTCCCTTTCTTACCCGAGAGAATCCTATCCGTCTGAGAAAGGCAATGCAGTGTCATTCTTGTACAGTTGTACACTAAAATAGGCTTGCCTGATCGAGCATAGGCAATATCCATATTTTGCATCATTTTTACAATTTAAAGTGAGAATTGTAGCATTTAAATTGATCCAATCTCAATCATAAATACACAAACCGCGTTTTATTCCTAAAGCATGCTCACCAGCATTATTTAACTTGAATCAAAATATTGCAGAATTCTGCTCTGACAAGGCAGTTATTAAAAAGTTGGAAGTATCTAACAATTTGATATTTAAAAGCTCTTACACTGATGCAATCCTCGAGAAAAAACTCCAAAAAGCGTTAGTACAACTGGGCAAGAACTATTTGGCCCCGACATTGACGATGTGAGCACTTTAAAAATGAATTTTGAGTAATGGTTCGACAATCTTAGTGTGTAAAGCCTACACTGTCCGACATGAGCTGATATATCTACACAGATCCACCTTCAACATACCTGTGACTTGATCTGAGAACGGAGCTGTTTCTCTAGACTAACGTTGGCGAAGATGGCAACGCGAGGATCCTGTTCGCCGGAAATGTTGGCTGAGATGGCGCGTGCAATGGTTTCCTCGGAGATGACCTCCACTACGCAGTCCGGATCCTGCCCACGAAGCAAGCCAGCCAACCTCGTGGCTACCAATGACTTGCCCGAACACGGATACCCGCAAAGGAGAAGTAGGGGCATTACCGACCCCGCTGTATAACTGCGAAGTTGACGCAGCGTGTAATTTAATGGGAAATATCCACCACTAACGATAAAATAACATTTTGATGAAGTAGTTAAACCAACTTAAATAATGTGCGCTAGATAATACAACACTTCTCCCAGTTTTGTGGCCCGTTATTTGTGCAGGGTACTGTTGCCTAAGCACCAAACTGTTTCTCTGGTCCATTGTTCACATAGGGCAACCGATTTAAACCCAGAAGAGCATTAACACTTCAATTAGGAAACAAAAAGACAGTGATCTTAAACTTCGATGCAACCTAAGGAATGATACAAAAGCAGAGCAGACAATGAAAAAAGAGGTGAAATTCATACAGAATGTACAATTTATTTCGCTGCACAATAGAAAAGGGTTAAGTAGGATAGTGATACACTTTGGCAGTCCCATCGGCCGAGGCACTTAGAATATAGTGCTGACCATCCTTGTCAGGAGGCGCCCAATCGACTGCAGTGACAATATCCTGGTGACCCATGAGGTCAAAGAGCGGTGCAGAGGTGCGCCGTGTGTCCCACAACTTCACTATCTTGTCCACCGAACCCGTTACAAATTGGTCGGCTCGGTGTGGCGCCCAGGCTACCGACGTTAGCCAACCATCATGACCCTGGAACCCAATCTGAGCGAGAGCATCTATGAGAGAAGGAAAGGATGCGCCACTAAAACAGTTCAGAATCTACTTCATTGTGCGATGGGATAGTTGTAATCTAATGCAATAAGTTAGAAACAGGTGCTTAGAAGCAACCACTACCTAGGTTTGTATAAACTGTAAGCTTCTTACAAAGAGAAATCTTGCAAGTGCATTGATTAAGGGATCTCGTGAGGTAATTTGTCAATCATGCAATAATTGTTAATTCTGTACTGACGATAGTGGGTGAACGGGTTCGCGTTCCTACATAAAAATAGTGATAACACCAAATGCCAGACGCAAAGTAAATTTACGCATCTTAGTAACAAAGTCGTAATAAAATTCAAAATTAAGGAAATCACCAGTAATTTCCGCAATGAGGTAAATTAGGATTTAAAAAATAACAGCGACTGCCAGCTATCATGATGTGATCGCTAATGATGGGACGGAAGTAGCTGTTAAGACCATCACGATGTTCCCGATGAAAAGGCTTCCGAAAGGTGGAAAGAACACACCCTTAGCTCTGAGGTCATAAATCCGGACCTTGTTGTCAGAAGCGGCGACCAGAATACCCTGCGAGGCGACGGAAAGATCGTGCAGAGCACTACCCACCATGATGCAGCGCACCTCGCCGCACTTGGACGCAGCCGTCTGGCTGCCGCTCCCAGTATCCACGTCCCACAGACGAATAGACTGATCCCAACTGCACGAGATGAGCTTTGGTACGGTGGTCGAAGTGACACCCTCCAAGTACCAGGACACCCGGCTCACCATGTTGCGGTGTCCCGCAAGGGTTACCCGCGGGATCTGGCAAAAGCCATTAATACATTCAATAATAACTTTAGTATTCAAACAAGCTGCGCTTGATAACAGAACTTGCGGTTTACGAGAATATGAAAAAGTATAAAAATGGGACATTCACAAATCTTAAATCACTGGACACGAATAGTACCAGAAGTCAAATTTATAATCAAAAATAAACTTGAAGTGGCTTAACTGGAAAACTAACTCCCCTGTGCACAATTAACAGAATTGCCTCACACCGGTGGCATATGGCTAAAAAAGAATAGCCACTAAAACGGTGGCAATTATTGAACAAAGATTAGCAGTAAGGATGAACAGAAACGGTGAATTCAGCATTGCAAGTATATATTTTGGAAGAGAACGACGAATAAAGCTGATGGAGTAATTCCAACCTCGAAAAATGACGGCTCACCCGAACTGGAATTTTGTCTTCCGACTTTCGTTTGTGTGATATGCCGCCAGTCTCCATAACAAGATCAGTCTTATCAGTATCTTAAGTACAAGAATGTTACATAAGTTAATATTGCGTCTTAAATTCGTACACAACTTTTAAAAGTCACGCGAAAACCAGGAGCACGTTAGCAAGCTTACTGGCAGACCACACTTTAATCGTGGAATCATAAGAGGATGAGGCGAATAGATCCGCATTACAGCCAGAAATGGTTGAGGATGATGCAAGCGACATTATTGTTTCCTTATGGCCCCTGCACACAGCAACGCATTCAACGTAGGTTTTAGCAATATTCCAAGCCCAGAGCCGAACGAATTGGCCGAATCCGCCAGTGGCAAATATGGAGTCATCCGAATCTACAGTGCCTAAACAGCAGAAAGTTTAAAAAGGAGGCAAATCACGTTTCAAATAGCCAAGCCGAATATGTATTCAATGTTACAAATAAAGACGGAAACAAAGTCGTAGAAACAGACTACATATAATTCAAATACAACCAAAACTAGGCAAGATTATTTTAACTCACCTTTCTTAATCCATTCTGCGGTTTTAATCTGTTCCTCAAGAGTAAGAGTAAAAATCGGTTCGGTCCCTTTTACGTCTCGTAGCTGAACGGTTCCATCATAGCTACCTGTAATGATGCTTTAAGAGAGTTTTTAGTGCTTCCTACAACTCCTTACCAATTTTCCCGGCGCCTCACGCAACTTATGAAATCTTCATGAGCTATTTTGGAAAGAGCTTCAGGTGCATCTTGGCGTACCGTAAATTCGATCTCAATCACTTCCTGTTAATTTGTTAGGAAAAATGACAAAACTTGCCAATGTAATTTGCTTTTTTAAGAGGAACTCATCAAGTGTTCCTTCGATGAACTCATTGCGCAGAAGAAAATCAAAGGAAACTGAATCCGCTCGACCTTTAAGCAATTCTCGTAGAACGTTTCTTAGGTCATCGGTGTTTGATGATCGTGGGATACTTATTGGGTGTGAAGGGACTGAATACCTGAAATCCTAAGTGTTAACTTGCATTTAAAATCAAACCTATCATCCCGCGTGCGAAACGACACCTGCACATGCAGATCCATTTGGCGATTTGTAAGGTCGGCTGACTTAGTTAAAGATATAAACACTTTTTTGGTGCTTTAAATAGTGCCTCTTAATCATTGGAAGTATCTATTTCGGACATCCTAAATTAAAAACGCCAAAACTGCTCTAGCTGATTGGAGCTCTGGAAGAAGCTTCCAGCCACTTTTTCACTTCTTATACTGAAATAAAGAACTGTTATTATTTTAGCATGTTTAGTAGTGCATAGTTTGCGGGATCAATTTCCTTCGATGAAGGGTGGGTTATTTGGCTATCTATCCATCAAACCACTTAATAATAATTCGCATACTTCATGAATTTTTCCCTCCTTTTATATTGAACTCCTGTGGCTTTATGGTATTTGGTTTAGTGCTGGATCCCATCTTACGGCCCAGTTGCTTCGAGGTAATGTTGTGCAAGAGTGGAAGCACAGTGCCTCGAGTCTTCAGGGAGGTCATAATAGGCCATTCCAGAAAGGAGGGTGGTTTAGTATGGACGTATAGGTGAACCAAGAACTATAACTGCACCTGAATTATGAAGAGCCAGATTACCAAAATTTACAGTTGGACAAATCATTACGATACTTCATATAGGTGGCACAAGTGTTATTCGCAATCACATGGAGCTGCCTATACAACGGGATGTTCTATGAAGGCCTTCCACCAAACAGTTATGGTTAATCGAAAGCAGGGGTGTTTTTCTCCCTGTGTTTTAGAAAGTTCTGCAACACAGCACTTTACCCTACTATTCCAGGTTCAAATAGCATCGTCCCAGTTCCGTACCAATCCAACTGTTGCGTCATCGTTAGATCAGTAATTACAGACCCGCTGATTCCACTGAATGCGAGGTAATAGCCTTGATTATGTATCCGCCAACCTCTACTAGTTTTCGACCCACTTACCATTGTACCTTGTCTTTCTATTTCTTATGCATGTTGTCTAACATGAGAAAAACACCGACGTTGGTTGATTCACATCCGGTTTTGGTGAAGGACCTCCTTATCGTGGCCATTGTACCTCGCCGGGCGGTCTGGCCTCGGGGCCATACCATTGGCCCTAATACCTATTAGTCAAATATGCATATTACACTTAAGCCTAAGTTCCGAGGTGCTACAATGGCACACCGCAACCGTGGTAAGGTGGTTCGCTGAGCCCGGATTAGCAGTTGCTGAAGAATGAAACCGTGCAATGGGTCCTCGACCCTGCGTTCGGGATTCTAGTTTAGTCGAACATCGACCCGCAGAGGTAAAACACCACTTCGCTGCTATGTAAACTACAAAAAACTACACCATCAGATTCGGAAAGATCAAGCCTAAATGAGATTGCAAACCCGCCCGGCCAGAGGGAGCACACGCTCGTCTCGATAAAGCTTCGAAAATACATATGTGAATACACATGGAGCCGTAGAAAAGTCTTCGAATGCCAAATACTCAACTTCTGCTAGACATACATTACATGATGCCACGTGGAATACTCACGTGCAGTGAATTTATTGAAATGAAGCACATAATGTCGCACTTACTGTAACATAACAGTAGTCTTCTGATCTCTAAAAGTCCATTTAACACTAATTTTTGAAATCCCAATCAGTTAAAGAAGCAAGTCAAAACAGGTCTAAGTACGTTTGGGTAAATATTTAGAATGCATTTTCTCTTTTACAATCACAAAATATCGCAGGTGCAAGAAAAAGGTGGATTCCCAATTAAGCGGAGAGACTAGAGACCTCCGGTTTTGGTTCCGAATTCGGTCTGTGTCGCTTTCGGTAAAGGTAGGTAGTGACGATGAGCCCAACACCGAAGAAAATGAGCACCAGAGCCGATATCATAACCAGGAGGGGGAAGGCTTGTCTGCCCTGACGATTGAGTACCATGCCCCCCACCGCCTGGAGCGCACTCGCACCCACGGAACTCCCGAGGTTGACGAAAAAAGTGATGACTCCTGAGACTGGCGAGGCCATACTGACCACTCCAAGGCCCGTAGGAAAGAGAGGACTTTTGAAGAGGCCGAAACACACCGTGAAAGCCAGGTAGACGGTGCGGTTGGAGGGCGCGAGGTAGAACCCTAGAGCCATTGCCCACGCGCCCACTAGCTGAATCGCGAAGAGGATAGGCAAGGGAACGATTAAACTGACGGGTACAGTGACAACCCGGGCGAGAGCAAAAACAATCCAGTAGACGCTATTGAGGAGAAAGCAATCGCTCTCTGGCAGATGAGCGGGTCCTTCATTGGCGAAGACAAAGAGATACTTCGAGAAGACACGTTCGTTACCCACTAGAGCTGCGTAGAGCAGGAAGATTGGCACTGTTACATAGAGGAGTACCCTCGCTTGAGCTGCCAATGCTTGCAACAGAGCGAACTTTTTAACCCCTACTTTTACGTCTTCAAACTCCTCGGCAGAGCAGCTATCTTCGCCTTTTGATATGGTTGCTTCGGTGGTCTCCTTTGAAAATAACACATTTTTCAGTAATTAAAAAGTCATCTCGAATACGACACATAAGTATTGGAACAAGAATCGATAAGTAAGTGGTACACTGAAGCCCCAAAGCAGTGTGATGCTTACGTAATTGTAACAGGCAAGCGATATGGCAACGATATTCAATCACGGTAGGTCGAAATTAAAATTTCGAGTTTCCACACATTTATTTACGGGCTTTTCAGTGTATTTTGAATCTAGTTCACAATTTGCATTCCTGGATGGATTTCGTTTAAGATTAAATGTGGAGCAAAATTAACAAGAATGTCAGCAGAGCGGGGAATTCAAACTAAACATGAAGTTTTTATGCCTCACACTGCCACAACGAACCCTGTTATGAAATGCATGCAATCGTGACCTGCTCATATATGCAATCAGAGTTTACCTCCACAACTATTGCAATCATCTTTGTGCGCTTTAATGTACAGAAAAGCTGGCGGTTCGGCTCTAAAATTGTGTAAATCTAACCGGGAAGGAACTTAACAATTCTAACATTACCCTAAATGCGCAAATCTAAGCCTGCACTTTTGCGTTGTCAACGGCATTAATAACAGCACTGTCGCTTGCCAGGCTCACGAAGATTAGTCCGATCATCAGAAAGTAGGATTAACCTCTTTAGATGGTTGGCAGAAGCTAAAACAGCAAAAGAGACAGGCACAGCCACAGCAGAGGCCACCGACGATGAAGTAGGGCGTGGTGAGACTAATTATTCTATTCTTGACCACGGTACCGTTGGCGAAAACCTTCTCTTGAGCGAAGGTAAAAGATGCCAACAGGCCGGGGGCCACAGAAGCGCCTACGCCGTAGCCCGAATGCATGAAGTTGAAAGGTCCACCCGACTTCTCCAGCCAAATCGAATTCAGCAGCGGATTTCCACCTGTGTTAGAAAGTGCAACAAACTTCAAATCGGTAAAATTCATCACCAAATTAAGAATTGATAAAATTAACACCAAATGATGATTGGGTAGTGTAAAATCTAAACTGTAACTGACAAAGTAATGGTTTTGACATCCACTTTACTTAAATAACTTGGCTTGTGTGAAACTGCCCCAGAAACTCGAATGCCGCATACCAATGAAATACACGTTTTATAAATATTTTGAGGACACCCTGTCCTCTGGGATTTTAATCTTTTTTGGTTTCCTCGGCCACACTGGGTAAAAGTGCTAATCTTTTGTTCAAATTGGTAGAATTGGAAGTCATTGTGTCAACTAGGTAAAGCTTTTTGTGCAGTAGCTGTTGATTTAGATTCACTTGTGTCGATTTAAAACTGCATATGACATCTTATGGCGGTGGATGTTGAACATTGCAGGAAGAAGCGCCAAAGTAAGCGTGCGTCCTAAAGGGTGCGTTTAGTTGCACCAGGAAAAAAACAAAAAGTTTGCAATAACTTTTGGTTCTAGCTTCCGGCTAATACTGGCAACCAACACAGAAAGCATAGTTTTGTTCACACAAAACACAATACAGCAAAGAAATTATAGATAAATGACAGCCATTTTTCCACGTCAGAGAACGACTCCAGTAGTTGGAGGATATGCTGATACATCCAGAACTTTTGTACTCTATAAAGTAGCCACGCAATGCGGGAGCACAAACCCGCGCCCGTGATCGAAAATGGGGATTGTGTTTTACTGTTGCTTAAAACAGAAAAAAAGATTTTTGTATTCATAACTAATGTTTACTAGGAAACCTCAATCTCTTAATTCGATTGCAGAAAGTACGTCACAAGTCAGTAAGTACGAAACACGCAAAAGGCCTTACTTAATGTAAAGTAAAATTAGAGGTATTCGGAGGGCAGGACAATAAAGGCAAAAAGTGGTTATTATAATTAGCTGTTCGAATTCACACGTTGTGAGAGGTGAACGGCAGTCGCATGTCAAAGGAAATATGTGCTAGGCTTTGTTAGATAGTGTGAAAATGCAGTCATTTGGACACCGAAAAGCATTTCACAAACATCAATCAGCAATCAATCATAAAGGGTAATAAGGGCACGGATGTGTGTCAGCTGTCCGCTCAAGAATGACCCGCAAATTTAGTTTCAAGAGTTACTAGCCTTAAACGAAGTGTATTTATTGGTGTTTTCCCATCGAAAAGATTTACCAATTCACCAATTGCTACACAAATAGCTTTTGGTACAAGCTCGAAATTGTCAAGTTTCCCTCAGTCGTAGATAAAAGTTATTAATAAAATAGTCTTGTCAAATCGGGGTCAAAATATGGAGTAAACCGGTTGAAAATAGCAAATTCGTTTGAAGAAAGAATTAGCGCCAAAATACATTACTTCTGTCTTGTAACTTTAATGGTTGCACTGAGATGTCTTTAGCCCATCAATTCTAAAATTGCTGGTTTCTATTCTTCTATGAACGCAGTTAACGGCCAATAGGGATGTCAGATCGAAACTAGCCCTTCTAAGCAAATATTGACGCAGAAACCTGGTTCTTCAGAGCAAGAAATAGCCTTCAACATGAAACTCAAGTTGCTTACTAAGCAAATGTTGCAGGCGCAGGCCAAACATTAATGTGCTACTTCAACAACTCTCTCCCAAAGCTTGTACACACTCATTTTGGCGGAAATTATCAACCTAACCTTGCCCCTTTTGCGCTAAAACAGTAAATCACCTCCTACCAAGGGAAACTTCAAGAGTGATTGAGATTTTAACAGAGGCAAGCACGAGGCCCCAACAGCCAACGAGATAACAGGTGAGAAAGGTTGGGGACAAAAGCAGAACCATAAAGCAAAACAGGTGGAACTTTGACAGCAATAGCAGGTTTGTCACGACCTGAATGTGAGGTACTACTTGCGCAGTGAGCGCAGATTAAAGATACAGCTTCAACTACTACCCATCGAAAGCTCAAACCGGATCATTTCACGGTAGTTGTCAGCGCAAAATAAACTTATTTTAGCCTAGCAAATCGCTTACAACTAACAAGGTCTTATGAAAAGCCTTCACAGTTACTAACCGAGGAGGTGAGCCCACTAAAAGAGACAAAGATAGAAAGACAGAGACCTACTGGCAGTCATAGTGCCGTGAGCGCAGCCGGAGAAGAAGAGAGTGGCAGAGAGGGAAGCCACAGTGGTGCACCAAGGTACAGCGCCGATTGTGACCGCTCCGAGTACCAGACCGCCGGCCACAACGAAGTGTCGCCACCGTACAAAACGGTCAGCTAGGAAAGCACCCACCAGCGACCCGAAGAACATGCCCAACTCACGCATCGAGAGGCACGTGCCTATCTGCTCGGTATTCGAGTTAGTCACGTCTATGTACGTCTGCAATGAGGGTCCCAACACCTCTGCGTACAAACCCTACCGGCCAATTTGGGGATAAAAGATTATACATCCGTTTCATAACTCTGTTCAAGGCCTCTTGCCCCATGATTCTTCCCGATTTTTCCTGAACGTGACTTTGGTTTTCTGCTGGTTCTCTTTAAACCAATCCTTTCTGTAGGTTCGCCGTGGGTCTACACTACGTCACTCTTTGGGCTCTTCGCTAAACTTATTAACAATTCTGACGCTTAGAGGAGCTCAATTTTTAAGATTGTGGAAATGTAAAGTGGCGTTTTTTTTTAAATAGTCCTTGACACTTTTCATCAATTTTATTTCCTTAAATTAATAGTTGAGTAAATAATTAAATTAAAACTAATTAGGTGAACTTAATTAAACGAATATTCTTCAACCATTCATTCGTTTTACCGCATTTCCTTCCGGCATTCATTCATTTCCTTTATTTCAGACCGAGGTCAGAGTTGTGCTGACCGTGTAATATATGTCAGCCCTAAGAGGCCTCGGCTTCGCATAAAATCTTCGGAAAGGGTAACAAGGAAGAGATTAAGGACCATTTTGAATTAAAAATTGCACGTAGTACCACAACAGTGTGATAACTTGCAAACTAAACGTTATAATTACAGAGTGTTACCCCAAGGGATACTTCAGTCACTCCAGAAGCAAGAAAAAAATAGTATACGTTTTAATTACCAACCTTGCTGACTTGAGCAACCTCGTTTACCTAACATACGTTAATTCAAGCACAATTGCCACGACATTCGCCAGCATGACCTACTTTTGCGATGTAACATCAGCAGGACATATTGTGAGCAAAAAAGGATTTCGCTGCACTAACATAAATACTAGATAAATGAAACGCCTGACCTGTCGACAATAATGTCTCTACGCATTACTAAGCCACATTGAAAAGCAGCCAGATGAGTAGAACAGAAGCTCGTGTGGTTCTCAGTTCATTTCGCTGCACTAACTTCTGGTTGTAACTTTCACGAAATTGTAGGCTCTGATGTTCTGCATGCCTGCACT